TTCAAATATCTGCGCGTCGGAGATGATCTCAAATTCCGTCGTCATTCTGGCGACAATTGATCTTCTCCGAGAGGAGCACACGCTCTGAGGCTCGCTGCCTCTCGAACGGAACCGACTCGACGAGCCGAGAAATTCTTCGACTTTGAACCATCGGTCGTTGTTCTCCTAAGCCCCCATGACCCCCTACAGATGTTCCTATCAGCGATTGGATTGACTGAGATCTTTTGCGCTGTTCTACAATGGTCGCAAAAAATGAGCAAGATTTCCGAAGCAGCGCAGCGTGCGTACAAGAGGAATTCCGGCAACATTTTCGACCACCTGTCTTCCCCAACATTTCCCTATCGATTATACGGTCGCGGCTGCTGCTCCTGCCCCGGTCATTCGATAGTTGACAGTCATTCGTCGACAACTCTTCACGAGTTTGATCCGCGTGAAGTTGCCTCCTCGACTCACTCAGCCGGTGGCCACGGGAACAGCTCATCACATCAGTAGTTGTTTGATTTTTTTTTCGGGTCTGAATCACCACTCCAACTAGCGCAAAAAAGAAATGCGCTCCGCGATCCTTAACCAAGCGAGCAACGAACCAGACAGCCGCATAGCCACTAAGCTAGTCAGCCAGCCAGCCAACGATCCCGGTCCCAGTCAGCAACCAGACCGCCCGTTCGCCCGCCCGCCGTCCGACGCGGCCGCGGTTGCCCCTTCCGCGGTTTCCGCCGGTGACGACGTTCGGCAGAAGTTTGGAACGCATCCGAAGTTGCGTAAGGGTTTCCTTCAACGGCCCACTGAACCGCGCGACATACAGTCGGCAAAGCACGAACGTAATAGTGATTTCCTACAGAACGAAGGAAGTATATGGAGAAGAAGAAGCAATCTAATGCTTGAAATACCGTCTTCTAAAAGGGAAAAACGGGCAAATCTTGGAGCATTTACGACAGTGATTCAACAAGGGGAGCAGAAGCGCGCGCGCACGCACTGTGATGCATCACTCCGGCGTCCGCTCCGTCTTCTTTTCTTCGCATTTCTTCCAGGCGAAGATCTACCGACTTTAACATTTCGAAGATTAGCTCCGAAACAAAGCCGATAGCGGTCCGTAGTCGATGATGGTGATGATGAAGGCGGACATGATGGCTATCAGCCCGGCGATGATGCTTACCGAGGGGCATGGTTCAAATCATATGGTAGAAACGAACGTTAACGAAAGCACGGGCGACTTTCAGTCGGCCCCTGGGCTTAAGGATATTTCCTACGTTCTTCTCCCAGTCGTGCGTCGTCTTCACGATAGGGTGGTGGTGGGTCGTCGTATGCCGCCGCCGCCATCGCCGATCAATCTGCATTTCATGGCTCGTCACATAACGAGCGAGTGTCGCGTAGGACGCTTACGAAATATCCTGCAGTTTATCGCTTATCTACATGGACACGTATAGCTTGACTCTCTCCCTTTCCCATTTTCTATGTTATCGTAAAAATGTCGTCGAAGTCCGCATAACAGGACCGTCGTGCAGCTGCTACACGATATCCGCGAGGCGGATGTTTCGTAACTGCGAAAAAAATACAAAGTCGTGTCTGGGGCTATCATGGCATGCACTGATTGGATTTTCTCGATATTTGAATGGCTGTCGGATGCGCTTACGTTTCGTGGAAAGTTCCTCGTCTTGTGGCATTACGGTCGTCAATTGGACAATGACCGCACGCTTCTCTGTTTGCATCGGAAGCGAGGACAATAAGAAGAATGGAACCGCCCATCGACTAGACGGGATAGCAAGCCATCCTCGAAGACTTTTGTGGAGTGTTGATGATTATTGCTCATTTTTCTCCACGACAGGTCCAGGCTAGGATCGTGGATTTTCCGGATCTTAGATCGTTTCGATTGTTTGATCGAATAATCTGCTAGCTGATGAGCTGATTTGGATCGAAAGAGGAATAAAGTCAATCAGAGTAGAAGTCGTTTCTCTGGAAGCAGTGGATCCCATGGGAAGGTGTCTTCACACCTATAAGACCAAGTCGAGATCGAGTTGGAGATCATCCGACGCAGGAGAATGAACAGAAAGTTTTCTATGACCGATCAAAGGCTAAGTCGCGACAAATGGAATTATTATGCAGAGCAGGCGTCGACCAAGGGAAACTGATCGTTCGCCCTTGGGCGCACCTGAATTATTCTCCGGGCCGATCCCAGGGCGCGACAGCGCTTGACCTGTCGAGAGTAGGGCGCGAGCATGATAGCTTCGATATCACAGAAGTTTCACTCATGACTTCTCTTTTGAGCCCTCGCTCCCGATGACAATAACCGGTTCTGAAGGATCAGTACCTAAACCGACAACTTCAGGACTGTGGGATCGGATCACGGAGAGTTTCCCGTGGAATATGTGCTCATGAGCGTTCCCCGACAGGAGATACGATCGCTCTGACTTATGATCGTCCGTATCTCAATGCCGCCGCGTTCTGAGGTGATGGATATTCCGAGTCCACATCATGTAGGGATGGAGATGAGCTTCGGGTCAGTCTCGCGACAACTTAGCCATGCGCATGCGAAACCACTGCGACGTCCGGAAAATGAGGCTCGGGGAGCAATTCAAGTTATTAGACTGAGTGAGAGATATTTCCAGTGATTACGTCCGATTTGCGAAGACTTGCGAATGATGCTCCGCAGTGCTCGGGAAGCGACACCGGTGCGCTGAGGCGTACGCCGACGACATTCTACGACACAGTCAATCATCAGCGGCGGTTCCTCACTTGATCGGTGCAGCACCCAGCGATAAACAGCTCGGTCTGATGACGATCGGTATCGGTTTTGTTTGATATCAACGTGTTTCAATTTGATGATGATGATCATAATTTCGCGCCGTTATGTTCGACGACTTGTCGGCGGCCGGCGTGTGAGTGAGCAGACCGTCTGAAGTCTATCTGCTTCGTCGGTCTGCAAGTCTGCCACTTGGTTCGTCTGGCAGTTTGTCCGACCGTTCGCTTTCCCTTTCGGCGGATCCGCTCGCTTGTGGTGCTCCCAGGCACACAGAACGCTTCAGCGGCAGGAGCAGCAGCAGCCGCAAGGAGAAGCGGCTCCAGCATTGACTTGACTTCTCTGTTTTCAACGGTGCTTCGGCTTCAGTGGTGGGGCGCAGTTCGTCGAGCAGGCAGCAGCAGCAGCTACGAAAAATATCTGTGCCTTCGATTTCTCTCTGTGCTTTTCATTTCTACGTCGTCCGTTGTCGAGCTTATTAAAGGTTCGGGAGGCTCCCTGCGCAGCCCTCGTATACCTTCGTAACACTGCCGAAACTGCCACCACCACTACCGCTGCCGAATTTTTTTGTGGTCGTCGATGTTTTTGTGCCTCTGAGCTTTCCCTCTGTTCGCCTTTGCCTTGCCTAACTTCGGACCGGATCATCTAAATTGTTCACTCGTTCGTTGCTCGGTGCTTGCCAGGGAAGTCGTTGTCAGTCGCTCGTGATCTCGAGAATCGTCAGCGTTCTGCCCAGCTCAGCTTGCCCCTTAACCCTGCCACTGACAGCCTGCTTGAATCTTCACTTTCTACGCCAGCTAAGAAAACTGTGACTCAGTTTATCTGCCGTGAACTTTTCGTTCGGATCGAATCCATCCTCTGTGATCGCAGTTCTAGTGTCCCTCTGCTCGGAATCGACGGAATTATGCAGGGGTTATTGGTTGGTGACACCTGTTGCTCAATGTGAAACCATCATCGAGGTAAGATCAGTGTTCGAAGATTAGCCTCTGGGAAATACGCATTCTCCGTAGCTGATGTTGATGTTCCCCTGAGAATCTGCAAAAAGGGCCTATTGCCGGAAATGAGGATTCCCGAGGAAAAACAGGCTTCTTAGCTCCTAATTACCCGAGAATACCTAATCCACTTCCCTCTGCCCGACGAACTCTATGGCTGCTCAGCGGGAGCACATCTCGAACAAAAGTTCGGAGCCGACAATCGGATAGGATTCTCAAATCGGTGTGTTCGAAGTCGACCGCGTCGATGAAATCGGAGTCCGTGTTCGGAGAGCTCCCTCTGTCTCGCGTGCGACCCCCTTACCCCCGCCAGAAAATTCTCTATGAGTCGAATCCATAGTCGACAAACGGGTGAGTAGCCTTCAGCCCCCGCGGCGAGAACATGAACAAAACCGAGCACTTTTCCTGGCGCTACAGTCGATCGAGCCGGCAGCATTACCGTTTTCATTCGCGGCAGTCCTCAAGATGTTCCCCCGGGAAGAATGGATTCGCGAGCCGTTTGTGGGCAGCCGAGGCAACTTTCGCTGATCCATTCGTTCTTCAGCGTGCGCGGACTAACGGTTACTTTCTGCAACGCTGCCGTTTCTGCCGAAAACGCCGCCACCACCGCTACGGCCGCACCGGACGACCAAGACGATAATGATTAAAAAACGAGTGGTTGGCTGGTTGGTTGCCTGACGAACGGAATGACTGACTGGCAAGCTGGCTAGCTAGCTGGTCCTTCTACTCTTCGAAGAGCGTTCTTCCATACAGTCAATGGACCGGAGTCTATGGAGTCCTGCTTCTCCAAGCAATTCGCTGCTTTGTCCAGGATAGCACAAAGAGTCGCTGCTAGAGAAACCGTCGAGCGACTTAATTAGCTCGAGAATACGAGTGACTCTCGATTCTCTCGCCGATCCCCAGAGCGTTCAATTATTCTAAGCATGGGAAAGTCAGAGCAAATGAAGGAAGACAGAGGAACTTCGCCGCGACGACGTCGCGTCATCTCAAGACTGGCGGGAGACACATGTCAACGGCTGGGGCGACGGCCGGACAGAACTGGCTGTGTGAAAACATTTGGGCTGACAATCAACATTGTTCAATGATCATTCCATTTGGCGCTGTGGAAGCAAAGGAGACGAAACGAAAGTGGGAACTATGCAAATTGTCTAGTGTTTGTCATTGGACAACAATTCGCTTACAAAACTTCCTCGCCGTGACATCATCTCCTAGGAAATCCCACTGGGGCGGCCCCGGGGCTAGGACCTTGAGGAACCTCCTTGGGGTATTTTCCAAACGCTCTTTTCGACCATTGGTCGAGCGTCGTCTCACCGAATGCCGTTACTCCTTGCCTCTCCGAATGCCGTTACCTTTTGCCTCTTCACCGAAAAATAAATCCACATCGAGCCGATCTGGATCGGCTTTGTTCGCCAGGGTTGCCTCTGTGGTCGAGTGCTTCGAAGGTGCTGCCGATCCTCGGCAGAACTCCTGTGTTTCTCCGTCTTTCGAGACGTATCTACATATTCGACTTCGGAGTGATCGTCCTCACCGGAGCTTATCTGCGTTCAGTCAGTCAATATCGTGTTTATCGCTTCGGGACTAATTCGCGCCAGCGAACGAGTCGTACTAGGTCGAACAAGCCGACCAAGCGACCGATCGGTGGCTCCAGGTTATCTCGATCGGTACGGTGACTTCAACGTCTACAACACGAGGTTAGGACACATCCCGCTCTGACCGCTCTTTAGTGATCATAGAAGTCAGCGGTCAGCATCGTCCCTGAGTGCTCCGTTATTCTCGAGAGGGCGATCTCGACGGCGAGCCCCACTGCGTTCGCCGAGCTCGACGAGGTTTTCGATCGAGACGTGGCTGTCATTGTGAGCCTCTCACTCCAACCAGGAAACGGAAAAAGCCCATGCCACTTTGAGGGTTGCAGATGGCGGTGCTGGTAGGGAAGAAAGCGAAAACAATACGCTCATTACTCTACACGAGACGGGATCAGATGAGAAATGTATCGTTTGATTACCCTGGATGCTCCCAGGTGTTCTGTCGATGTATATCCCGAAGGGCCGAAGATAGGCCACGACCTTTGACACAAGAGCCATAAGCTCTGTAGAAGTCGTCGGTCGTATTCGGAGCCGCTGCTGTCGCCGTTACCACGGTGCTGCTAGTCGATTCTTCAGGAAATGCGGAGATCTTACGCAGGCACTGGGACCGGAGGCGTCGGCGTAAACATTTCCAGTGTGTGACGCGAATCAATGATTCATTCTTCTGAGTGTTTCCGTCGAAAAAAGGGTTGTCCATCTTATTCTTCGAGTTCTCCATCTCGTTCTCCCATCTTTCCGCTCTGCAGTCTGTCCGCGCCCCGAGACGACAAGAGCAGAAGCCCCGGCCGACACGAGGGGGTCGGTGCCGAAGCATCGACATGCGTCAAGCCCATTGTTCGCTCATGTCACAACAACGACGACTTTGCCTCCCTCGACAAGGACTCCACACCCCTCTGGGAAAACACGGTGACGGGCAGTCGTTGACTCCGCATAGAAATCGGCCAATCGGAAGCCCTGGCGGAAATTGTGCGCTTCGAGGAGCATGCCGGGCTACTTCTTCTACTGGAACTCAGCTCGTCTCGCCTCCGGAACGATGACTACGCGCAGAAGTTACGCACAGAAAACGACAGAAGCAGAAACTTACTCAGCTAGAGCAGTAGCGGCAACAACAACAACAACGACGACGACGACTGAGGCAGAATGAGAAAATCGAAAGCAGGATGCCCACGTCGGCTGAGCCGTTTCTTCAAGGAAGAGTCGCAGGAGCTGAGACGCTTGGCTGAAGCCTTTCGCTCGGAACCAAGTCAGCGTATCGCAGCAGAAGCGGCAGCAACGGATAGCAGAGGAGCCGGCATCATCCGTAGCGTCTTCGTTATGACGACAATGACTAGCAGAAGATACGAACAGAAGGGTTGTTGCAACGCGAGGGCATAGCAGCATCCGAAGCAGAAGATTTATTGAGACAGCGCAGCTGAGATCATACGCTGCGCTGACGGCCGCCGCAGATCCTATCAGCTGATCCCGGCACTCGCGTATTTTTCCTCCCGTGTACCTTCATTTCTCTATTCTTGCTCGTTTATGTAGGTACAGTTCATATTTCCGGATGTATTGTTCCGGCTTCTCTGGAGAGTTCGTGCAAAGCGGTAATCGCGGTCGCGGATCTGATAGCACGACTCCTATCGGACCGAAGTGTCCACATCGATCGAGAGTCCTCCAGTGAGAGGTAGAGATAACGTTTGTTGATCGGAAATATAGAATTCAGCGCCGACCGACGCCGTCCTGTCCCGGAATTCCCACCCCGACGGATCGCTCAAGCAAAAACAATGGTCTTTTGTTCGACTAGCTTTGACGATTACGAAGCTCAACGGAGGCAGCTGACCAGTTTAGCAAACACAAACAAGAAGAGCCTTATAGAATATCAACCGATACGAGCTGAAGAAAATCCAAACCATTCACTCGTAATGATCATGATTAGCTGGAGGAGAGAAGAATGATTGGTGTTGAGCCGCCCAGACGGTCAGAATTCAAAACCCGCACCTTCAGTCCACCTAAATCCCCTCATGATGGCCAGCTTCATTGTGAACCCGTCCACGGCTATCGTCTGATGACTGACTTCTTTTTTCTTTCCAGACATCATTCGTTTCGTGCGATGACAGAATTCTACTCCAACGCAGTCAGCTTATGGCCCTGCGTTCCCCGACGGCCCATCGGTCGCCGGAGTAGAGGTCCCCAGTCAGCATGGAGCCTCCTCGCGGTCGCTGCAGTCACCTTAGCTTCTGTAATTCCTCGCAGTCACGCTCAATACTATGAGGATAGTATATTCCCAAGTGCTCAAAGTCGTCTAGGTCCACCTTGGTCATCGGATCTTGTCGTGCCCCATCAGGATTATTTAAACATCCGGAGACATCTCACAGGTGAGAACCATTCTCGAAATGCGCCCCTTCGCCATCCTATACGGAGGGATCCATCCCCTTACTTATTCGGCCTGATCGAGGGCGGTAATCCGTAATGATGATCCGATCGTGGATATTTTCCGAGAGGAGCGTACCTCAAAATAAGCGTCCATCGGTTCTCAAGATAGGCGCGGAGTCGCGCGGATTGCAATGCTGCATCCGTGGCAGATTTCTCGCCTGTCAAATTATTCGCCGTGAAGAAGTCTTCCGATCGACGGATGAGAATCTCCAGCCGCTGTATCACTCGGAAGTGAAGCGTAATGGACGAATTCACGATATGGGAATATCGAGAAGAATTCTGACGTGGTCATGTTTCAATTTCAGCTCCTAGTCCAGACTTCCAGTGGAAATCAGCGTCCGACCGCAACTCCGCTTTCGTTCTTCCACGGAACAACTCTGTGAATCCGCATCAGGCCGTAGATCTTCAGACGCTAACGAACATCATAAACGTGGCGCGGTATATTCTCTGTGAGTTTCGTCCTATAGCAAAAGCTTTCACGGAAGAAATAGACGAGTCAAGACGGTAGGTAGCCGAAATGGGGAACTAGTGTTTTCAATTGAGCCCCGACCGGCTTCGAAGAGCCTTGGGTGACTAACAACTAGCACCTGACGCCGTGTGCAGAAGCAGAAGGGAAAAACCGGCGGCCAAGGAAGAGGAGCCGAAGTTGTTGAAGTTCGCCTCCTGATGAGAGTTTTTGAATCTTCCTTGTCTGCTCCGAATTAGCATTGTCGACTGCAGGAGAAGATGTTGTGCGTTCCCCGGAAGCTGCGGATCATATCTTAGAATTAAACGCCCCCGTCGGGCGTTTTCCAGATGACGGCGTTCAGACTCAGTCAGCCGTTGGAATCAAAGCCCGCGTCTGCAGAGCAGAAACGCTCCGATTCGTATGGAAACTCATTGATACGCGGGGAAACTCTTCCATCGACTCCTGAAAAGCCGGGGAAGAATTTTTTGTCAAGAGGCTGAGCTCCGCTCCGAAACAGTAGAAAGACGCCCCCGAGGAGAGCGGAAGTTTTTTTTTTCAAGTGTTGATCTGAAATTTGGCGAAGCTTCCCCCGATAAGCTGTTCTCCTATACCGTATTCTTCCTTTTAGATGCGCGATAGGCACTGAGAAGACAGGAGCAGCCACGCAGCGATTTTGATCCGCGAAGTCGATTCACTGCATGAGTTGTCGACTTTGCACCGGCCACCACCCCTACGGTAGCTCGCGTAAACGATGGACTTTTCATTTCGCATGGGAAGCGACTTTTACGCGGATGTCAGAATAGATGAAAACTTCCGTTGCTCGCTGGCTGTTCGGCTGACTCTCTTTCGGTTGTTCGCCCAATCGGTCGCTTGTTCGGTCCGCCTGGCCGGCCGGCCGCAAAGCCACCCGCCCGCCCGGCCGCCTGTCTTCATGTCTGCGCTCCGCCATCGTTGTTCTATCTTCGGCGGGACCCGGCATTGTTGCGTAATCGTGGCGTGGGACCTCCGGAAATGTCGTCGCCGACCGCGACTCCTGCGAATTGTTGTTATTACATATATACTTTCCATCGTACGTCGCTTTTTTCCGCTACCGACTTCAAAACGAAGCCCGCCGGCTTCCTGATTTTCAGTTCTACAATGTGGAATGCTTTTTCCGTCGGAAATGAATAACACGTAGATTTTTCTTATGAAATGTCGGACAATCCGTTTCCATGCCACGTGATTCGGGAAGCTTGCATCCGGCGTTTCCGGTCGGCTCATTCTTCGGAGGCAACGCTCTGAATCTCAGTCTTAGACCGTTCGCCCGTGTGTCGGTTCTGCCTCGGATTCGACCCTGTGCTCGGACCGCTAATGAAAAATCGCAGCATCGATGTCCAAGCCGCACGTATGCTACTGTAACGGTGACCAATCTGGAGATTCCGGTCGCCGAAAGCGTGAGCACTTTCTGTGTCGTTCGCCGCCGGTTCTGTGCATCAGATGTTTCGCGCTTCCGACTAGATGGCATTCCTCCAACGTTAGAGCAGAAAAATTGACATTCGCCCGTGAGCTAAATGTTCGAGCCCTGGGCAATTTTTTCTGGATGCGGCTCCTCATCAGCGGGAGCGAGTCATTCCCGGAGATGAACGGCACCTCAGTCAGTGAGATTGTTTGCTGTCGTCGGTTGGACGCGACCATCGATGACGGTGGCGAAATCGAGCATCGCAGGAACGCGGTCTGCTCGGCCTTTCCCCGATAAAGGTTAACAAGACACTTTGTTCTCCGCTGTCAGCCGGAATCCAAGCCCAGACTATGGAGAGGGCGGCAGGATCGTGATCCCTAATCGTCCAAGGAAGTCAATTTCCTTTTCTTGGGAGTCATGCTCGCCATGTCGAGTCAAGGGTTAATTACCAGCCGGAAATATTCCCAGCGGACGTGGAGCTTGTAATCCTTTTGTTTTTCTTATCCGCCATGACGGCCTAATAAGATAGTCGGCTCAAGAATTTCACTCCGCAGCGCTTCCACTTCTGGTTCACACGAACTCTCACTGATGCGAAGACAGACGATAAAGATGAAATGGCAGAATGGATCAACTGTTGCAAAATGCCTTCTGCAGGAAATTTCAGAGCGTTGACGCATCATGTGGGAGCTGCCGGAATGGCGAGTTGGAAAGAGCTCAAGTACTTCAAGAAAGATTCCGATTCGTCGTTTCCCGGCTTGTGGCGTTCGCTGAATTTCTCGTAGCGGACATATTCGGAGGAAAACACAAGAAAAGACTCTGTTCTCATAGATACTGAAATGTCCTTGATTCGCGGGAGGGTTCCCAGACGAGTCCCATTAAATCGAACGGCTCGTTTCTCGGGATCGCATCTGCGGGTCGCATCCGATTTTTCTACGTCGATGTTGTACGCGTCGCGCTCCGAGAAGAAAAAGAACTCTTTCGATCGCTTCCTCGAGGTTGGGACTCGGCTCGGATGATCCCGCCCGAATCCAATGACATCGACTGGGGGACAGAAATGATTTTTTCTTCGCCACGCCCGTGAAGAAATTTCTTATTGTCAAACTTCTGCGGGGAACGATCGCGCCTCATCTTCCTCAAACTTTTGAGTTCCCCTTTCACTGCTATCCGTATTTCATGAAGGAGACGTGTTCACCAAAATCCGTGTCAGTTTCTCATGTCCCGTTCCAAAAGATGGCTCGGGCTGCTTTCTCTTCTCATGATGAGCGTCAGGAAAGAAAGCAAGCGAGGAATTATTTCTCGCAACTCAAGAGTGTCCGTCTCGATCGGAGGAGCTCAGCGCTCCGCTAACGGATACATGCATTGTTTTTGAGTCAGAACATGCTCACCTATTCCGATGGTACTCTGTGACGTCGTGATTTGAAAGGAAACAGTCATAATCTCTATCATCATTCCAGCTTTCCCTCAAAAATGCTTCTTCCGTGGAAATTCCTACGCTTGCGGTTTCGGAGTCTCCTGCTGGATGCAGGGCAAACGACCCGTGGATCTTTGCAACGGCGGAGTCGTATGGTCTTGCTGCGTGCCTCGCAACGCTGAGCCTTCCAAACAGGCTATGGTCAAGGAAGCCGGTGAGTATCTCATCAGACAAAGGAAGTAGGGCTCGTCGGACTACTTTCTTTCTCAGACGAAGGGGAATTTTCTCCCCTTCCGAAGCGCCCTACGTGGACTCGAAACGAGCTCCCCGAACTTTGCAAGGTCACAATTTCGAGCTCAGGGCGTGTAGCTCATCAAGAAAACCGTACTTTACAAGTCTCTTCTATCGACGGCGCCGAAAAGCATTCCTTCTCCGAATATGGGTCTCGATGGCGCTGTTCTCGAGGGCACGTTGAGAAGCTTATCGACCGATGATTATGAGAGGTCGAAAATTGAATCGCCGATGCGATTCCCCCAACCGCCGAATACTCATCTGACCGATAGCCGAGAAGTCGGACGGCTGGGTCCTGGACCACGATATCCAGGGAAGCCTTGTAGCAGAGAAATCTAATCGAGGGAAGCTTTGGAGGCTCTAATTATATCAGTCAAAGAGCATCAAGCTCTGGTCCGATTGAGGTGTCCGTCGAGGACTATCATTCCAACTTCTTCCATCAATCGCTTGGGAATGAGCATTGTCAAGACTGCCGAGTCGCCTGTGCGTCCACCCTTCGCTTCGCCAGAGATTGACCCGAGACCGGTGAAGTTAACCCGTGGCCACTTTCAGCCGGAACAGTGAGACGCACGACAGCACACTCTGCCTTCGTTCGGGATCGCATGAGACATCGTTTCTCCGCTTCCGATTAATGAAAACTCTGGCCGTAGTGTTTTCCTTCGGCGTCGCCGACTTGAAGTGTGTCACGGCTTTTATAGCTGCAGGCGCTGGAAATCGGAGAAAGTTATCTCCCTTCCACGCGACCAGCTACCTTCTCTGTGCACTATAAGCTATTCTACGGCTCTCCGCCATTCGAGCTGCATGTCATTTTCCAAGTTGCCATTTTCCAAGGGCATATACATATGTCCGATGTCTGCAGATTCCTCGAATTTTTCACGAGGATTTTTCCTCGTGGAGAATTCTGGCACTAGCCAGAGGTGTCGACCACAATAATACTCGCGAAGAGTATCGAATATCTCTCCAATGATAGAAGAAGGGAAAGTCTTCGATATGTCTTCAATTTTGCCTCTGGCGTTCATCTCATCCGAGCTTCACTTGGTCTAACGACCCAGATTACATCCTGATCATGAGAATCAGGCTCAAAAACTTCTCCGGCAGCGGGCTGCTCGGCGGAGGAGTCGGCAGACTACAGGAAACGATCATTTCCGAGCGGAGAAAGCGAAACTCATATCCTGTGAGTCGACGGTCTTGTCGCAATTGGCTTTAGAACCCGCTCGACGAGAAATATGTTGACTCGGGCCGTGTCGGGGAGAAAACTGCGCTGAATAAGGTCCCTCTTTCGCCCAGAGCTCGCATTGTGACTGCATCAGCCGGCGCTGGGTGACTGTGAAAGCTTTCCACCGTCCCGTTGTAATTCGTTGTGCTTACTTTATATTCGAGCAACGTTTCGAGCGACATCGGCACTTCAAGTGGATATCGCTTGGATTCCCGAAGTCGATTCCATAAAGTCGAAACGGGACAGAAAGATAGATGTTAAGAAAGAGGAGTAGATTTAGATCTGAGGTGCGGTACTTTCGCGGTACCATGGAAAGGGCTGCCACTGCAACAGACGCCGCGTTTGCAGCCGCCTTTCCCAGTGCCGTCACTTTCACCACCGCTGGCAGCGTCGAAAAAAAAGCGAAACGGACGCCTCCCGTTAAAGCCGGCTCTCAAGCCGGCGTTTTCGGTTAGTTGACGCTAGCTCGATGCTGGCTCTCGCGTTGCCTTCATCATCTTCCCTGCTTCCGTGAAAGCATTTATCGAGCCGAAATGGATCGAGGAGCCCGTATGGCTCCGAAAGACCTCTTTAAATACATCGATCCGATCGTCACCGGATATAATTCCCATATAGATAATCCCGGTCGATGAGTCAATTACTGCGTCAATGACGCTACGTACTCCCATCATTCCATCAACTTATCCATCGTTGCCATCGCTATCGCTCCCATCATCGACCACCATGCGAAGCCCTCGATCAAATATTTCACTTATCGGCCAAGAGAGGTTCAATCGACAACAATCATCGATCAACACACTCATACGATCCATCGAACGACGCTTGATTTCGCTCAGTAGTGTTCTATTCTGCATAGCTCCTCGCTGGCCGATATTTCCGTTCGGCGGGGTGCAACGATCAGACCGAGATAGAGGCCTCAATTTAATTTCTCTTTCAGTTTGCGGACGGACATACATGCGAGACGCGAAAGTCGTCGGAGGAGTCGCTGCGAAATTTGGCCAACAGCCCTGGCAGGTCAGCCCGGGGATGATTATATTTTTTTAAAGCGAACGAATCTTCACTCGGTCCGGACCAGAATATGGCTCCCCGCCAGATAAGAGGGAATTAAGAGTGAAAGTGAAAATTACTCCATGATCCGATCAGCTGGGGTTGATTCCGATTTTCAATTTTCCAGGCGGCCATCGTGAAGCGCAGTTTCCTTTCACAGAAGATATCTTGCGGAGGTGCTCTTATTAATGAAAAATGGGTCCTCACTGCGGCTCACTGCGTCGATAGGTGAGTATTCGATATCGGTCATGCTACGAGTCCGAGGTTTAATTCGAATCTTGTAGACGGGTGATGTCTCCATTGATTATTCTCGAACGCTGCCTCTATTCGATTAAAGGACTCCTGCATCGAATTTGAGAGTCAGGCTCGGCGAGCACAACATAAGGGACACCACAGAACGCTATCCTCACGAGGAGTACACCGTGAGGAGGAAGATCGTCAACGAAGGCTTCGACCGGCGGAACTTCGTCAACGACATTGCTCTCCTCGAATTGGCGCAACCGGTTATATACCGAGAGCATATAATCCCAATATGCCTCCCTGACAAAGGCACAAACTTCACCGGCGAATTGGCCACCGTCGCCGGCTGGGGTCGCGTGAAACACGGCCAGTCGTACATGCCGTCTTCGCTGCAGAAAGTCGATGTCCAGGTTATCGAGAACGAGGACTGCCGCTCTTGGTTCAAAGAGAAGGGGCGACGCGAACAAATTTTCAACAGCATGCTGTGTGCGGGTTACAAGGAGGGTGGCAGAGATTCCTGCCAAGGGGACTCGGGAGGACCTTTGGTTTTGAAGAAAAACGGTCGCGCTCAGCTCATAGGTCTCGTTTCTTGGGGGGTTCAGTGTGCGTTACCGAACCTGCCGGGAGTTTATACGAGGGTTTCGGAATATGTCGATTGGGTCGATATCTACGTGAACAGAGGGTCGAGAGACTCGATTTTGGTGAACAAAGCGGTCAGTAAAGACGAGTCTAAGGACGGCAAAGACGTCCCAGCGGTTTCTAGGCATTTGAGATAAAGTGGAGAATGAGCGAGATCACGTATCGGACCCTATATAGATAGTGTAAATATGTGAATGATGAAAATGTTAGAATTATTTGAACTTACTGTAATTTTGCAATGCACTAGTTTAGCCTTTCGAGACGCAGTGGGAGTCACGCGAGCGTTGAAAGTCAGAGTGACTCTCGATAATGTTGTTTTGGAGCGGACATCCCCGCCTATTCTCATTCTGCTTTTACTTTTATCAACGAGTTTCGTCTAGCGCGATTCCGCCACTATGTACTTCATCTACCAGCTTCATTGAGATCGAGAGAAAACAGAATGCTGTCGAACCCGTCCATACGAGACTGCTTAGAACGCATGGAACTGGAGACCTCCCCCACTTTTGAGCCGTATCCCATATGTGAGCGATTCTCTACACTGGGACCTGCATCTGAGGCGGAAATCAGGGATATGTTTGCATCTTGCACACAAAATGCTCTTCGAGTCTCCTATGGGTGGGTTTTACTGCATCTCTTGGAGCGTTGCCGATGCTGGTTCTGGTTCGAGGCCAGCGAGCGAAGAGAGCCGTTTCCGAGGACCAACCTATCTTACCGTTGGGTAGTCAGCGATCAATCTCTCGTAAGTCGTTCGATGACCAACGCAAAGGAATTCCACATGTCTGGATAATTCCAGCTTCTATAGAAATTCTTCTTTGCTGAGTATATTTCAAATATATCCGATAAGCTTTTTTTTCCAAAGAGTATTGAAAGAGAATTCCGCTTTGCTTAGATTGATCTGAACCCAAACAATTGTATCTATACCCCACGATGTTGAGACGCGTTTACTGTACATAAGAATGAGGCTCGTGGCGAGTCAAGAGTCAGTTGAGTGATATGTAATTATAATGGAGTGCAATCGATTCGCTGATTCGAGAAGACTACCATTGAGGTTCGGCCCTCGAGACCGGGAAAGTATTCGAAGAAGGTGTAAGGTCCTGGTGCTCTTTCGTTTCGAGAATGAACTTGTTTCCGGAGCACTAATTTATGAACGCACTCGTTTGCCTGTAGACCTCGACCACAACAATTGTCTTTCGAGATGCGCTTTTCGAAAACTTTTTCCAAACGAGCCGCTTCGATGACCCGGCGATCGACAGATCGATCATCCATCTCGTGTCCAGATTTGATATCCTTCAGGAGAGACGGATCGTGACGTTTGTTGTTGATTTTTTGGCAACAAAGGAACTTGAATTCAAATAAAGCAGTAGTACTGTAGTTTTGAAAAATGAATCGAGTTTCTATTCATCTCATTCCCGGATTGCGATTCGAACGCGGAGTCTTCGAACGCACGGAATTCCATCATATGAAATTCGATCCACCGAGTGAATAGATATTCGGTCCGGAGAGGCGACGGGAGTGAGACTTCAGAGATCCCAGTCGTAGCCACCGCAATATCCGTTGAGAATGGGCGCTGCCGGGATTCCTCTGCGGACCATTCTACATCTCATTTCATCCAAGCGGAATTTCGCGGATTCAACGTCAACCACCGACGCACTCGACCACAGTCTCTCCGCCACGGCTCCAGCACGTGGCCTGAAATGCCCAATACACCCCTTAATTAGCTGGATATTGAAGCGAACGATCGGGATCAGGGATAGTCTGCCGTGTCGATCAGAGATCCATATTCAGGACATATGCATTCAGTTCTCCCGAGCTCACCAGAGGCGCGAGATGAGAGTCGTTCCGTCGACGTATTCTCCCCACATGCAAGCTTCTCCCCCGATGATAAGATCCTTGTCTTCGTCTGTCGCCTCGAAGTCACGCGGATCTATATTGTAGTACTTCTTCCAATCTTCGCCGTAGCTTATGTAATTCAAGTACCACGGAGCCGACAGCACCAGCTGATAGCCATGCTTAACGATTCTCGACATGTACGTTTGCCAGGGGAGCAGCTTCGAGTCCAGGTAGACGTCTTTCCAAACCCCAACCAGGGTATCGGGCGCGGCTTTCACGCCGTTGTCGATCGGATCCTGCCAGATCATGTACTTCGCGCCTAGATTCTTCACGCTGTCCAGCGTGCGACGCACATAGTGCTGCTCCACCTCTGCCACCTTCTTCATCTCATTCTTTGCCATGAACTCGGCGATTTCCGGACTCGATTCCCTGAAATAGCATTCTGGTCGAACGGCGATCGTAGACCTCGTCGCCCAAGCTGTCAGATCGAGCGGAGTGCGGACCATTCATCATTCATCACAACTGACCAACACTTGTAGTAGACTTCATCCATTCCGAGATGGATGTACTCGTCCGGGAATGTTCTTGTCGTTTCGTTGAAGATCTCTTTCATCACATCGTACGTATAGTTCTGCATAGGGTTCAGCATTTCAAAGCCAGCGAAATCCGGATGGCGTGATGTGCCCTTCCCACCCTCGCCGTAGCATGGAGTCAGGAGCTCTGGAATCGGATCGTTTCCAGGGAAGCGAGAGCAGCCATCCTTCCGTCCCCGCATCGGGGATTTCAGACTCAAATCATGTGTCTCCAAAATTGATATTGCGTACTTGGGAAAATTTTCCCGATAGCTTGAGTGTGGCCAGGAGTGTCGATTTCGGGTATGACGCGGATGCCCCGGAGGCGGGCATACTCGATGATTTCTCTCAAATTTTCTTGCGTATAAATCTGCTTTGGATGGTAAGCTGCGTCCGTGAGATTGGGAAACACTTCCATCTCGTAGGGCCATGATTGATCGTCGACGAGATGCCAGTGGAAGACATTGAATTTCGAGTAAGACATGGCATCCTAGATCAGGAAGAGTTAGAGCCTCAATCGCAATCAGGGACATAAACAGGATATTGATATTAAAATCAGAGCGGAATGACGAGCAAGACTCGTCCGTATATTGGCTCTTCGATCTGCACATGAGTGTGAGCTCACCAAGTTTTGTTTCAGGACTTTCATCGGTTGAAAATGACGGGCGGTATCCAAGAGAATTCCTCGGAAACTGAATCGAGGCCAATCTTCAATTGATGTTGCGTTGATGAAGAACTTGGAAGGGAAAGACAATTATGAGCACTTTGATACAAGCTCCTCGCCGACCGTTGCGGAATCTCGTCAGGTCTCGGGATTCTAATATTTAAGATGTTTTATGAACTCACGCTTCCTGCTTTCTCGTCATGGTATAGGAGCTGAGAGAATGTTTCCAATCCTCGGAGCGCACCCCAGACGGTTTTCGATTTGAGGATAGCTGCACCGTCATCCTTTATCTCCAATTTGTCTGAAAGAAGTACATATAGCATGCGTAATCCCTCTCCCGCCCTCGGAAGATCCCTGGGCCACATCATGGTCGATTTCTCCCGGAAACTCACATTTTTCGTCGCTCTTGTGATGTGGATATCCACAGTGTTCGGCCTTGTCCTCATATTCTTCAACTTCGACATCGAGAGCTTTCAACTTCGTCTTCGAGCTCTCGGCGGTCTTGTTGACGGGGAACAGCAGCTTCTTATACCTGCGGCGTACAATCAATGTATGCATGCTTGATTCAAAGATTCGATGGTCCAGGGTTCTAATGGAACATGCCGAAAAACCAACCTCTTTATCGCTTGGTCTACGATATCGCAGCAAATAGCCTCCGATCGAATATCGAAGTTATTGGGATCGACTTCCAATAGCTTATCGGATGGTCTGTAGACTTGAGGTAGAGGCCATGGCGACCCTGGGGGTGACGGAGTTCCCTGCAAGGATCTCCCCGCTGACTGTGGTATCGAGCGTTTCTCGACATGGGAAGGTGGAACTCAAAGGCGACTCCAAAAAACTGACCACCCCCTCTCATGCTGATTTTCCATGGGAGTTCCGTGAATGAGAATTTTTTTTTACCTCGAGCGGCAGACGAACTTCTATATAGGTGATATGACTCTGAACTGCGGCAGCGAGAAGGGCAACGAAGCCCCACAATGTCCACATCGCGCTATGGCAAAAGAAGGCACTGACCGATGATCAGGACTGGCCGGTTCGGTTGGATCGATTTTGGCCGCGGGGAAGGGCTGGAAGTCCTTTCCGTTGGTAGGCACCGGATTTCCGAGCGACTGACGAGCAGTAAAAGACGCCGCTTCGATTGCTTTCTGATTTTACAGCGCATGGAAAGACATCGCTTGCTCGCACATCGAGACACCAGATAGGACAATGCCCTCACTCTTTTCGGCCCGGCTACATCATCGAAAATTTCTCCCAGAGTGTATCGAATTCGGGCTCGGTTGAGATATCCCCTACACCGCTCCCCAGCCGTTCCGATCGCATTGAAATCATCGACAATATTCATCACCATCTCGCGTTCACCAGATTTTCCACCGTGGAAAAACTCGGTTTGTGCTCGGCACTGCCGAACATCGCGCTCTCCGTGAATCTCTCCCTAATCTAATAAAAGGTGTGCTGGAGTCGTTCCCCGATTGTCAGGATTCAGAATGCTACAGTATAGTGATAATAATCGGTGGAGTCCACGTGGATCGGACGCTTTTCGGTCGAGGAGACGAGGATAAAAAGTAAGATCAAACTGAAAGTGAGCTTCCTCACAACCAGGGATTCCCAAAGCTCCGATGCGGCATGGTCCTGTGGAGGGAACGCGGGAAGCAAGGGAGGGTCCATGAGTATTAGCTATTTCCCGAAAGGAGGTTGTACCCAGGAGAGCCGGACAATTCGCACGGTAAATCAGCCTGCGCCAGGAGTACTTCCGAACGTATCCTTGGGAATTCGTATGCAAATAAAGAACTTTTTCACATCAGAACAAAGAAATCGAAACCAGAGCAGGTGATCTGTGTTAGCCGTCTTGGTCCCTTGGCAGTATGATCCCGGAGAGATGGGGGAATGAAGAGCTCGCTACCTCAGAGCCATTTCAGACGTGTCTCACTCCCGCTCTCAGGGATCAGGACACACCATTGATCTATCATCTGTTCGTGCAGGAACTTTCTGTTGACTTCCCTCTCGGGACCTGGGAGCCCTTGTTCACTTCGGCGTCGCAAACGACACGACTTCGATCACAAGGATGATGGAGAAGCGTGGAATGAAGCAGATAGAGGCGCTCTTAAGTGCGCTTGGATCTGATTTCTCCATTTCCCGAGACTCGAGCAAGATCTCACGCTCCGAAAAGCCTAGCTCGTTATCCACATGTCTGCACATTGAGCCAAGGGTGGAGGCTAAGGGAAACTGACCAAATAATCCAGCCCACTTTTTGTTCGGCTCAGGGAGGATCGTGTTGATCATAGCCTATCCGCTCTTCACACTTTCTGCCGGCTTCGGATGACGCGCTATTGCACTTCGATCCCATCTTGACACACCTGACAGTCGAACGAGACTGAGAAGTTACCCCATATTGGTACGGCGATTCCACAGTGTTCTCACCGATGCCCCAACCTTTTGGAAGCCACTGTGCCCTCGCATCCAGATCACCCGGGAGAAGAATCCAGAAAGTCACGCCAAAAGCGGCATCCAAGGCCCCTCAGTAATCAGGGCTGACCTCGGAGCTATTTCCGTACGGCTGTCCGAGGGGCGAAAGCTGAATCTATTGAGGGCCCTTGAAGTTCCTGCTGCTCCAGCCAAAAACTCTATCGGGGGATTTTCCTGAAAGCGACAGCCCGACGGGTCCTAGATGGAGCTTCAATGGATGATTGATTCGCTCACTTGATCGGAACTATTCAGTCCCAACCTCTGAGCATTTGGAAATCATCGATTTTCTTTTCCGAGCATGAGCCCGCTCATCACAAGCGGCACCCTTCTCACGGCTACTCCAGATCCATAGGAGTCCACGCGAGCGCTCACCGAGGACGACCCTGACGAGCGAGCCGACGCCAACAAAGAGGTAGAGAGGACGATTACCTATGACGTACTCAGAAGCAATACAGGGATGATTCCCATTTCTCCTACAGGGAAGTTCCCCCTGGAATTCAGCGAGGGCGGGAACCTTCATCCGGTAGACTCCTGCTGTGACGTCGCCTCTGATTGCATGCGAAGAGAGCAGAAATATCCTCTCGGAAAGTCATCTCCCTGTGGGAATACTTTACTAGGAGCCGCGGACCGCTTCCGTCGGAATACTTTAAATTACAGTGATTCGATGAAGGTTATGAAACAAATTAACCATTGCGTGATTGCTTAAAAGTTTGAACACAGGCCGCGGACTTCGCGACCATCATTAGAGGCGGAAACTTCAATCGTCTCCATTCCTGTTCTTGAGCATGCCAGACACCGCCAGGTTGTCAGCCTGTTCATTGCCATGGATACCGGAATGGCCATTCACATGTGTCCATTTGACGTCGATTCCCTTGCTGGCTTCGAGAAGGTCTTCGAAATCTTCTTTGTTGATCACAGGCTTACCAGCGGCCGTTTTCCAATTCTTCTCTTGCCATCCAGGCATCTGGAAGGAAATCGGTCTCGGTGAGGAAGGTCCTCGGTCACTAACAGGTTTGACGCTCTCATGATCGGGGCATGGATCAGGTATGACTCACCCATTTCGTCGTCGACTGTACAAGGAAGTCGCTGTCTGTGCGGATCTCAACTTCTTCGTAACCCTGTTCTTTCGCTTGTTGGATAGCTCGTGTCGCAGCTTGAATTTCAGCTCGGTTATTCGTGGGCTTGCCCTTTAAGGGTTCGGAAACGTTCCTCGGGTCTCCATCGCCCCAATAAACACCTGGAGAGAATCGACATACCGGTTTCATGATCAGATTCTCGATCACATTCAATAGAGGGGAAGTTGCCCGCCGATTATCTCGAATCCATGTCGAGAGGGAATTGAGCCCAAGACGCGCGCGTACGAGGATTGCCTCCCCTGAGAGTTCTCCCGAGGGAGCAAACGTGAGGAGCATTCCCCACGTCTTCTCCTTATGGTGCTCTTCCCAGCTCCCCATGTTGACGCTCGTTCTTTTGAAAATAATGATCATGATCATCGATTCGAATATATCAGTGAGAAACACGAGGATTCAAGCCGAAGGAAAGACCTGTATTCGGCATTCCGAGTCCGGAAATATTTTAGGCGCCACTCAGGAGTATTGGGAATAGTTCCCGATCACGACCTCAACGAACCTATGCCTGCTTTCGCTCCGGCCATTCCGTTTCCGCTACAAGCCCCGTCGGTGTAGACCACAGGCACTTCTCTTCGTGGACGACTTCGGGGCGGTGGCTCGGCATACGAACTTGTGAAGGATGGCACGAATCTGCGGACGTATTCGTAAGCTCAAATTCTCCGTCACGACTTTTCGTGGGGGCGAGTTCCCGAAATCTATCAAATCAAACGCATGGTTCCTCCTCGAAATCGATCGAACAACTCGAAAAAACTTACGCATGTTCTACCGGAGCTGCTGGGGCTGTAGACCTCGCCGATGTGGAGCTGGCGCTGGCACCGGCGGGACCGTTGCCGCGAGCGAAATTTTGTGCCTCTTGATAACTATCGAACCTTTTGAACCTACGGAATGAAGGATGTTCTCAGTGAGAATCTCGTTATCGACCCGCGATCCACTGGAAAAATGTGTCGATTTGCTGTCACTCACTTGGCACCCGAGTAGCCTTTGACAAGGCTCTCGCATTCCGCCCACGAGTTCACAACCCCAGTACTCCGTCCTGAGTTAATGGCATAATAAGAACCACCTGCGGCTCTGCGAGGCATTCTGAGAAAGCGTCGAGACTCCGAAAAATTCGCACCTATTGATCTACCCACTAAAACAAGAAACGAATCGACAGAGATCGCACACGAACGCATGTAACGGACGGCAGGCTCCCTCCACACCCGATATTCAACTGCGCGTTGACGACGAAGTTCTTCTTGTCGTTGAAGCCATCAGCTGTTTCCTGTAGCGGCGACGACCGACACATGCAGCATGCAGCCGTGGATGGAGGGAGAGAGGGCCCGCTCGCTCAACATTGTTTGTTGACGTAGTAGATGCTCCACATAGAAGCTTCGTTCTGAGCGGCTTTCGTTGCACGAGCGCGAAAAACTTGTGGATGATGTGGACCCCTCCTCGGTATGAGAAATTCGATCGAATAATTCTATGTTGAACGATGGAGCTTCAGTGGGATGCTCGAAACGCGCCTCCTCAATTTTCCATTTAAATTGAAAGCAGTGTGTTTTGGAGACGTCACAAATTCCTATGTCTTTGCAAACAGACAGTCGTCGGAAAACATTGACCAGAAAATCGAACAATCAGCAACAGTCGTTTCGCTGCCAGTGAAGAACTTGAAGAAACAATCGAGTAGATGTAGAGATGCGGAAAACGCCTTGAACGTATTCATCTTCTCGATCTGAACGCAAGCAGAGTGAGTACTTCCCTGTGATCTCCCTCCTAGAGTTCAGAGCGTCGAAATTTCGCCTTTCCCTTATTTGGAGATCTGTCTCGGTATCTTGCTGCGAATCACTCACTGCGGGGCTGAGGAGCAATACAGAGCTCGTGAGATCGGCACAGAGCTGTGGTGAACAGTTCGACAAGAGGGCTGGAGGTTAGAGGGTTCTCTCAGTACCCAATCATAAAATCAACTGCCGCTGATACGAGGGGGGGGGCTCCCGTCGCTCAAAGAGCGAGAATCGATCCTTTTCACGTGAGGACGAACCCTGCTTCGGAGCCAGGGGGAACGATAATTATATGATTCCACGCTACTTCTGTGGAGAGTTACATTCAATCGCAGTTCGTGCAAAGATCCGATGGTCGTGAGTTCGGACCTGACTCGCAATGGTCAGAATCGAAATATCTGGCCGCTAACCCTCAATCGCATTAAGACACGAAAAAAAAACGATTGCGTCGATTCCAAACACGAAACGGCTCCGGTTTCGCTAGTGGCCTCACTGATACAACCTGATAGATCCCTCCCGAAGACGAGGTCGTGGAAGGGAGCGATATCGAGTTTGTGCGATGGATCATCCGTTCCGGTTTGGCCTCTATTTCAGTAAACTTCTGAGATGAGTGAGCTCGGTGAGCCTCGGCTCTGGAGCCGAGCTGCTTTCCTGGCAGCATTGGGACTGGATGCAAGCGCCCGTAGCAATCGAATGATTATTTCCTTCGGGGTTTATCGAATATATTGAACGTTTCCAGTTGTAAAGAGGGCTCCTGTTATATCCATGGAAGCCAGCTGTCAGGCGATCATTTCCATTGGAGGACACTGAGGAGGAGCAGCGAATATCCAGCACATTCTCAAGAGGGACTCGTATGAAATTCCACCTTATCTCCTCATTGACGGTGGAACAATGCCGCTCGGTCGGTGTACTTGATCTGCCTTCGGCCTCTTTTGCCCGTCCTCGAACCGATTCCGTGAGCGTTGGAGGAAAAGGAAAATTGGAATCGGAGAGGAGAAGGAGGCATTGGAAGCGCGGACCTCCAGATCAAGCATGATTTCACCTCCCGCGCGTTGCTCGAAATGCGAATCCGATGCTCGAACGGTTAGATGAAGAGGAGCTCGCTGCATAAATCATTTGCATAAATCTGTCCCCGCATGATCAGATCCCCGTTCGGAATCGCGCTTATTGAAGGATACCCAATTGAGTTCTCGAGTGAGTTCCTTGGTGTTGGTGCACGGGGCAATGTGGAGGCAGCCTCAAAGTGGTGTGTCCTGATAAGCTTCCTCAAGAACTCATGAAATCCTTATCCCAAGCGCTGATCCTCTTCTCCGGTGCCGACGACTCGAAAAGCACTTCTGCGAGGGTGTGACTCGATCGCTCAGCCAATCGATGGGAACTTTTCGATCCTGGTCGACCCTGCTTCTTTGGGCCCACAGAACGATGTTTTTAGTTTCTGCCCCAATTAGGCTCTCCTTCATGAAGTTTTCTCCCTGACCGAATGCTTGGTTTTCAGATGGTTTCACCACCGACAACCACGCCGCCTCTGCGGAAAGCGAGCTCATGGCGCATCATGCAAATAATCATATACCTCACCGCTGTAGCCTTCTCCATCGGCACTCTGGTCGGATACAAGGGATTAAATAGTCTTTTCAAACAGGATATGCACATGTGTATATTATATGCCACCCCTCAAGTCACAGGTTGGTCGACGAGTATATGGGGAACCGCCAATTCCCATTCCATTTATTGAGCCTCTCTACCGGGATACTCGGAATACTCACCCGACCGCTATGAATGCCTTCACAGCCAAAGAGACACCGAAGGATTGCGAAGTGTCGCTAGAAAAATCGAACAACGATAACACCTGTAATTTTGTCTACTTCTACGTCATCTCCTCCGTTGTGTACGCCATCATCGGATGCTGGTTCTTCATCGCTTGCACATCAGACGCCAAAACGCGTCCGGATGAAACGTGGGGCTCAAATGATCGCTATCGAAATCACCCACAAGAAGCTCGTTTTGCACGATCGAATTAATAACGCTGCTTGATTTCGCTTTTCAGAGTTATTCAGTCGTGGAAGCTCGTAGTTCCGGCGATTTTCTTCACGCTCATCTTGACATTCGTTTCGGTGATTTGCAGCTCCCTCCTCAGTGGCGGCGTTGCGGAATTCACAAAATCCTTCAGTTTACAGTCGTCCGTGAACGAGTAAGTTTGTTCGCCTCTGAGTCCTCGTCTGCGCTAAAATTCTCCATTCGCGAGACCCGCGTGGCAGGACGCTCATGCAGCTTGTTCCAACCGATAGGTGTCAACAGTTCAAGCTTTTTCGGCCGGAGAACGCGACAATGTTCATGAATGAAGTGCATCTCTATCGCACGGTGGCGGAACTGTTCACCTGGTTGAGCACAGCCGTGTGGCTACTCGCCGTTATAATCCTCACCTGCCGATGCTGTCTGGCAGCCGATTTCATCACAACACAGTCGGAGGTAAACAGCGTCTTGAGAAAGATGTCCACTTTCGTAGAGAAAATTCGCAAGCCCTCTGCTTCAGCCCCCGACTCCAAGAGCCCCCGACCAAAGAAACAGCAAGACCTCCGTTCCCCCGGACGGATCAAACACCAAACCTCTCCTGTTTGACGTCGACCTAGAGCTGCTTGATACCGCATCGCTTCCCATCTCTCCCATCCCTTGTGCTTGAATAAACCGCTTGCCGCAAGAGATCAGCTTCTTCTGGGCACCCAGATAGCGGACCGAGACTGCATGCATCGATCGGGCGATCGTGGTTCGCTCGATACACGAAAACGTCCCCAGACGGGCCTTGCGAGTGCTTCGATTTAACCTTCTGTCCTCGTTTGCACGGAAGGAGTTCATCGGCGATAATCGAATAAAAAAGCTTCTGCGTGGAACTTCATCCTCGATTCCGCATGTTCCGGTGGTCAAGGCATGGATGACGGTGGCGTCACGCAAAAGTGATCGTCTTCGCTCACTTCCTGCATTCATATGTCTCTCTCTCTCGGGTCGAAGCTTCTGTTTGTCGTTCATGGACCCCGCCTCGGGTCCCGTGAGAGTGGCTCGGACGCCGATTGAGTGCCTGACGAAATGAATGGCCTGTGCCTGAGTGTTGATTGTTGAGAATTTCTTTTCTTAACAGCCGCAGCCCGACAGCGTGATGATGCGCACGGAGTCTTCCCGCACAGCCACGATGGCCTCACAGAAAAGTTGGAAGAATTCGTTGCGAAGATTTGTCGCTCCTTTGAACGGCACGTCGATCACCCGTAGTCTCAAGGGCTCGCTGAAGGGTTGGCGGAGCGAGACGTCGATTAATAGAAATCTTCTGCCGAAATCAATCAAGAAAAAAAACGTTGCTTCTTCACCGAACGTGCATGCTCTCCAGTTGCAAGTCAGATCACCTCCGACGGTGCGCTACGATCACGTGACGAGCACTGTGAGCTTGAGCGACGACGGCAAGGGATCCGAGAGTGCTCGAGAAGACAGCGAATACGAGAGCGTACGAGACACATCGTTCGAGAGCGCGTACAGCGGTAGTCGGCTTTTGAACCCGGTGGGAAGTTCGCGGCAGATCGAGACCGCGACTGAGCTCCGAGAAATCGCACCCAGTGCTTAACAATTATGGCCTCCGACTCCAGTTCGGGGACCCGTACCTATGCATAGTGACCATCTTGTCGTCTGTTGAGATCAAGAATTTAGATCGAAAAACACTTATCGCATGTGCTTACCAGTAGTGGTGATGTAGTCTGGTAGCCTTGGCTCATCAACTTATTAGTACTACTCGACATTGACTGCCTCAGTAGAAACTTATTGAGCGTTTTGAAGGAGCGAGCTAGAAGCAATTGGTTTTTGCAGTACACATATATGGAGGATATGCCTGACTCCCGACGAGGTCCTGCAGCCGCTCGAACAACGACTCAACGGAGGGCCGACATTGCATTGACGTCTTCGTATCAGAACTCTTGAATACCGCCGGCTCAGAAGCTCACCGGGCGAGCGCATCCCGTTCCGACTTGAGTGATATTCCGCCTCGTCAACCGAACGGTGCGGTGCAAACGCCCAGAAATTCGGCGGAATTCGCTCATTCAAAGTGAAAATCCATCGGTGCGGACCCGACCAGAGGGCAACCGGGTCGATCCCATGATCAAATTTTCGCCCATTTTCTATAAATGGATAATGGGAAGGTGCCCTTGAGCTAAGTGAGGCGCGAAAGCGAAAGATAGCCTCACTGCCAACACCCAGGAACCCCGTTGGCAGTGAAACTAATTTGTACGAATCGCATCCTGGAGAATGCGGAGTTTATACGATGAGTTATCATGTTTTGACTAAGTGATTGATCCGTTATGACTAGAGAGACTTAGTGAGTATTTATAGCAATCGAAAACCTTGAAGCGAGAGATTCGCGATAGAAGCGCTTCATCGCTCGATGGTGAGCGCTTCACTCGGCGCACTCACCCATAGCTTGTCGATGGGGGGCGAGTCTCGAACTACTCTGCTTGAATCGAATCGGACTCGGTCTTCGATCAGCTCCGTCCACGGGCCCTCAGTCACCGCCCCCACGATCGGTTAGGTCCTGGCAAACTCCTCACAGGGGACTCGAGTGAATCTTCTTGTTCACCGTCATTATCCTCCACTAATCAGACCCGACACCCTCAACTCGGATCATCCGGAGCCTCAATGGAACGGCCAAAGTATTTACATAATTTTGTACACTATGAGCTATATACCTACAATTTATAAGGATATTTAAGGGTCTGCACATTTGATGCGCGAAACCCAGAATGTTGGTTCACTTTTCACGGTCAGGGTTCAGAATCCGGAAAGCTCCCCTCTGTACCTGCCATAAATAATAGCTCGGACGATTATCGCTCACCGAGGCGAGAAGTCCTCTAAAGTTTCGGAAGTGACCGTGAGAAAGGAAAAATGTTTAAAAATGGGTCCCGATAGAATAAAAAAAGATCTGAACACCGTGGTCATTGCCAATGTTTTTCCCACCGAGGACCTCCGCCGAGAATCAGCAAGGGCGCTCAGAACCCAACGAGTCATGAAGCGAGAAAACGTCATCACAATCACAGAGCCCCAGCGAAACGAGGGCCAGGATCGCAGACAGCTATCCGGTTTCACCGATTTTTTCCGGATCGGGAAAGACTTTGGGCATTCATCACCGCCCGGCGCTTGAGGATCGAGAATCAATTACACCCTATTCCCGAATTATTATTCAGAGACATTCGTTCGTAGTCAGAATATCACAGACAAATATTTATTCCGAACATGCTTCACAGAGTCTCCACACTGCTCTGACCACGCTCCTCACGTCGTTTCGTATTTACACAGAATGCAATGATAAATAACACAAGATCACTCGATGACTATATCGCTCCGATGAGAGCTCCACCGACCATTGGAAAAACTACCATCCTTTCTGGACGACGTGAGGTCCGTGAGCGAAAGCTATAGGAGGAGGGGAGCTCTTAGCGTGTCTCGCACCCCCGAAAGACGCGAGCAACTTCCCGCCTCCCGAAACCTTTTGCACGTGATGAACTGTTGTGATGAGGTAGGAAGGTCCTGCGACTGCGTGCTGCTCGTGCTCGAGACCAGAGGCAGGAACGGGTGAAGCGAATCCACCTTTGAGAACTATGGGTGGCCCACCTTTAAATCCGTGAGCGCCCCCGCCCCTGAGAAGTATCGTCGGTCCCTGCACAGTATGTCCGCCCCCTTTGACCAACGGTCCTCCGCGTATGATGAGCGGCGCACCATGAACCATCGGTGGTGGGGGGTGGACGTTCTTCAAAATTATGGGCTGGCCTTGCATTAGAGGGCCATGTCCTCCGTGTGACATGCCGAAATGACCTTTGAAGATCACAGCTGGTTCTTCAGGCATTGGTGCGTGACCCGCGAACCCCCCTTTGTGGGGTCCCCTGACCAGTAATGGTTGTCCATGGTGTAGGGGTGGTCCTTCTTTGATCAGTATAGGCTGGCCGTGAGGCATCGGTCCATGGCTGCTTCGGAGTATCACTTGACCGAAAGGGATTGGAGCCGCTCCTTCGAAAGGTGGCTCTCGTCCCATGTGTCCTCCATGTCCTCCTTTCAACAGAAAACTATGCTCGCCTAGAATGGCTTCGTGCCCACCGAGGACGGGTCCGTTCATTCCGGCTAGAGCTGACCCAACGAAAGAGAAGAACACAAACGGGATCATCACTGGCGTGGAGCTCTATACGTTCCTCCGGATTATCCACTTTCAATTCACTTCGACTGTATCGGCGCATTGGTGGAATCTACCGGCTCTTTATATCGAATGTGATGTCGGAGGCAAGGGCAGGCGGCGGAAGAGCCCGAACTCCCTTCACGAGATCTTAATCCACTCCGAATATGTCAAGATATCGATTGTCGGGGTCGCCGATAGCTGTGGTGGCGGCTCATCACTTCCACCCTTGTCTTGATCCGGGAAGAGGAATCCAGCAGGCCCCCATAGCGGCTGCCTTCCCTCCGCTACCACCGATACAGTAATTATTACGGTGGAGGCGGCGTATACGAACGTCAATCGATTCAGGTACATTCTTTCTTATGTCACTGATCGTAAATACGAGAACTTCGACAGTGCACGGCTTTTGTACGTTGTCGAGATGGAGCCAGATCACGGAAATTCGAGACTTTTTTTGCTGGCAGTCGCACGCGAACCATCTGTGGGTCAGCGGAACATCCGAATTCAATCAGTCTGCCACCATGTATCGGGTCTCACCGACCGGAACTTTAAGATCCTTGGAGAGAAAGGTGAGTCTCTCGGATCCTTTTGCCGTGCGAAGCTTCCTTCTTATCTGCGGGAGCGTACCTCCAGTGAACCGTCCCGATTATTGGTGGCTCGCTCCCCCCGATGTCTCGTACCGGGACAGTCAAGTTGTTGAATAATTTTTCATCCGAAAATCATTGTCGTCAATCTTCTCCGATCTGTTTCCGAACATCTGCGAAAAATTCCGAAAATCAGCAGAGATGTTATTCAGATCAATCTTCCACGTATGAATCGCTCCCCTGAATCGACAACGTGCAAGACCCAGAGAAGTCGGCGCTTTTCCGCAGAGAAAGGTCACGTCGTTTTCAAGCGAATTAGATCACGGAACGCTTCGGATGCAGACGTCCGTCCCCCGAAAAACGGAAGCAGAGTCCCGACAACCTTCCGTAGAACGACTTGTCTCTGCTTCTTTGAGATACGCCGCGCCGCTGGGCCGAACAGAGCCCCGAAGAGGCTCGATCTGAATCCCACATTAGAGGAGACTGCGACTCTAGACGATTTCCCCGTTCTCCCGCTCCAGGACGGTATTATACCTTTCAAGATGCCTTCTTCGAGACCTCTTTCAACGGCATCGGGACGAGCCAAAAAACTCTTCGAAGCCGCTGCGAAGCGAAAAGCTAAAATCGCGAAGGGGATCTGGATCTTCGTCGTGATTTGCTGCGTTGCCGGCTGTCTCGGACAAGTATTCACCTTTCTCGAGATCTTTTGGAAGTATCCAACAATCATCGACATAGAAACAGAGAAAACGGATGAGCTGCAGTTTCCCGCAGTGACGATTTGTAATATGAATCGGTAGGTGTCGGTACCCTGGAATTCTCTCGCGAATAATCGACGTCTATCATTGTATGTAATACTAGGGGTACATACTTCATCCTAATAATAATAATTCCGAGTACAGATTCCGTCTATCGCAATGGTGTCGCTTCAAAAACATGGATGCAGAGACGTGCGGCGCAACAGAGTCCACTCTTTCGAAAGACGTAAGCGGATAGCTCCCTGTTTTTTCATAAGCCTCTTTCGAATTCGCGTTCCGCGAGTCGAAGAAGGGATTCGGGAATAATTTATTCAATTTTTGATTGCAGGATGATCTATTCACATTGAATCGGTCCCTGAAGATTCAGATGGGACATCAGCTGAAGAGCATGGTTTTCGAAACGAGGAAGACAGTCAATGGGACAGTGTGAGTTCTCCTGGACAACGAACAAACCAATATGTCGGATTTGAACATCGATACCCCATCGGTGCAGAATGATTCAACAGTCCGGGATTCGGATCAGGAAAGAGCATCGAGTGCCCCAAGTGACAATAAAGCCCGATCCTCTACCACTGCATTTCAGGGACGTCGCTCTGGAAAACGGCGGATTCCGGGAGCACTTTTTCCATCAGAAGTACAGTAATTGCTTTGTCTACAATGCTGAATGGTCGGGTTCCGGAATGGGCGAAATGGAACGTGCGCGTCAAATCGGTAAACGTGATTTCCTCTCCGGATGAGATCGGATCCGAGCCTTGTGTGCCTGATAAGGCTCGTGTTCGCTATAGTCCGCGTATTCTGATAAAAAAAATGATATCCTGACTCAAAGGCGGATGGCACAAGGGTCAGGTCTTTTCGACGGAAATTACGCCTAACTTGCAGATATCGAATTCACAATATTCTTGGAGCCGAAAGAATATCTCAACTCCAAGGAGGTTGCCAGTGCCCAAATCGTTTTCCATCATCCCGAGTGCATCCCTGATCCTCAAGAAAATGGAATACCCATTCGATCGGGTTATGCCCACACCTTCACGTTGCGCCATTTGATCACTCGGCGGCTAACTTATCCCTACTGGACCGACTGTCGGAATTACGATATGGTTAAAAGGGACCGCTACATCATACAAATGACAAAATCTGTTAGTTTCATCTCGATTTGAAAAAACCTCTATCGACCGAACGGTCGCGATCATGGCGTATTACCCCTATGAACCTCATCGTGATATTTCTTGCAAGCTCTGCGACCGAGAATGTGCTTTCAATGCGTCGTTATTGATGTGCCGATGCGTCAGACGCGACATCGCCCTGCCCTATGAAGTCGAGTGGGACAAGGAACCTTCGGGGAAGAGACGATTCTGCGATAACGACATCACTTGTGAGTGTCATTGGGTGAATTACTTAATGATAATCAGGGAGAAATTCTGGATAGCGTTAATTTTTTACGCGGAACGACTCCCCGTTCTTTACCGGATCAGTTACCCGCTGCTGGGTTCGTGTTCTGGACGAGGTCGAGAAATGCATCGACAAACACTGCAAGAAGCAATGCTGGTGAGATCGTATATCAGAGCTAAGCCGAGTCAATCGACAGGATCGCTCCGATGTCACGGGGAATTTATTTATATCGAATTTTTCATTCCAATCGGAGCGTCATTAGCAAAGATCAGAGGAAAGCTTTGTGCGCTGCAGGGAAGATCAGTACGAAGTATCTATCACGCAGGATCCTTGGCCGGATCCCTACTTTTTTGAGGAAGAGAAAGAAAAATTCAAGAGGATCGATATAAGGAATTTTCGGGAAGCTCGGAACAATCTCACCAAAATTAGGATTGTCTTCGGAACGCTCAACAAGATCACATACAGACACAGGGCTAAATACGAGGTGAGAAAAATTGAACGCTGCGTGAACCAATCGACGGGCAAACGAAACAATGACGCGAAATCCCTTTCCTTGCAGCAAATTGAATTATTCTCCTACATGGGGGGCTTCATCGGGATATGGATTGGAGTTTCGTTCCTGAATGTCCTCGATTATGGGACGGTCCTCGCCAATTGGCTCATTCGACGGATTCGACAGTACAGAGAAGACAAGAAGTTCGCTGCTGCTTTAAGCGGAGGTTTCGACGATGGCACGAAACATTGAAATTCTACTCAGGGTCGCACGGAATTCATTATTTTAGCAAACTGTCGATACTTCAATCCTGTGAACCAGGATGGTTCTTCCGCCTCCCGCCGGATACCCGTCTCGGACGTTTTGAGACGAATCGCGCATGCGGACTCCGATTAAAGAAAAATCCTGCTATTCTTCCGATGAAGAACTCCTACTACTTTCTCTCCAAGCACAGGGTTGTCAACCGTTCCCCGATCCTCGTTCTCTTGAAGAGACCAGCTCCCGAGAATGAGCAGCGGAAGAGAAAGAGATATCGGAGGTATCCTCGATATGTCGATCTGGGACAATTTATCCGATATAGACGATTCTTGTCTTCGGATCCCCCCTCCGAAGGAATTTCAGAACGCAGATCTCCAGGTACATCACAGAAACAGCGATCGAGGCTTAACTCACGGCTGGCCTCGAGTCCGAACTCGAGTAGAGGGGGAACAGGGGGAATGAAACTTTGAAGGACAGTCGCCTCCTCTGGGTACCCCCACTCGTAACTTTTCGTCTGACTCTTCGAGAGAGGCCAGTACAGAGCGTACACAGAATCAATGTAGCACGGCTTTATATATTTCTTCACTTATTCTTAGTAGCACACAGTCCTTCCAATGCTTGTGTTCCGTCGACGGCTCGATTGCGTGGAAAAATTCTAGACCTTCGATGAGTTCTCTGTCTCTTCACAAAGAGCAGCAATGCCAAATAATGAGAAACCATTTCCGCTTAAGAGAAATTTTTTTATCCACATCGGTTATTCACATATTATGTACATCTCAACAAGATACGAAATCGAACAGTGAAGAAGTCGCGAGAAACGAGTGAGAGGATTAGTACGGAGGGGAGGTGGTCTACTCCGACTCTACCTCACCGGTAGTGATCGTAGCTGTGGTATCCATGTCCGTAGTGACCTCCATGAGAATGGTGATGATGGTGACCGTGATGGACATGGCTGAGCAAGCCTGCGCCCACGACGCCACCCAAGGCTCCCGCCCCGATAGCCCCGAGGAGGATCCCAGCCCTCAGATAACGTTTCGCGTCCGCGTATTGAGCGACCATGAGAACAATGAACAGCAGAGCTATCTGCGAAATGAGATTCAATCCTATGCTAAACTTCGACGCCAGCGCAGATGTGGAAAAACGCGTGCGGAGCTAGAAACACTTATCTAGACTTGAACGAGATTTGAGGTCTTATAGCTTCACGGAAATTGTTGTGTATACTCACTGCTGAGCACCTCATGACTGCGCCCAGTGACTGCTCCTGTGGAATATGCGGGGGACCAGTAAAGCCAGTCTCTTTATAATCGCATTTCCCTCCTTCCGAAGCGGTAGCCAAGTTTGTCGAACATTGTCTACATCCAACATGCTTGAGTTAATTTGCGTGGGTGGGTCGAAAATCTGTCGGTGAACACGCTGACGATATTGTTCAGATCCGTTGGAGAGAGCGAAAGATCGAGTTTCTGGAAAAGCCAGTGCCCATTGACCCATGCTTCGGGAGAGAAATTAAAGTGACTAGCGAAGAAAGCGCTAACGGTATCAGGTGAACGGGTAAACATTTTCTGTTGAGTCGATTTCGCTTGACAAGAATGGAGATAATTCTGAACAAATATCAGGAAGGCGCTCAATCGTACTCCGTGTTCGGGCTCGATTAAAAGATGGGGTCGGCGTCTCAAGTGGCGCCGCTCTATTTTGGGAGTAGAGGCCAAGTTCACACTTGCTGATTCTGTAGCCGGGCCTTTGCTTTTCGGAACTCTATCGGGTCGAATCGCGCTCGGTCTTCTATTCTCATCCTGAACAGCTGAAGCGCGAATTCTAATCCTTCACAGACTCTCTCAGTCAGAGGATAATTCCGTGGAAGCTGTCAGGAGGAACATCCGAGTAGTCTCTCCGCACCGGGCGCATGCGGCGGTTGTCGATTTCCTCACTCATAGCATCCGCTGCGTCGAATCAGGAGCATCATGGCTCCCCCTTTGTACCAGACAGTCTCAATATTCTCCATTCTGACCTCCGATCGATCGATTCAGTCTTCAAGATGCTCGCAAATCGAGTTCGGAAGATTTCTCGGAAACATTCCCCTTCATATGCGACTAGCCGGGCCCGTCGCGCGTTGACGCGGGCGTCCCGTGTTCCTCCACCTTTGTTTTTCCCTTCTCCTCAGGTTCCCGCTTTTCGCTTTCGTCAGTTTTCTCCATTTTTCTCCTCTCACTCCGCCCTGTTTCATCTGTATCCTCACTTCCGTCCATTTCCTCTATTCTCTCCCGTTTTCCTATGTTTCCCCGTTGCTCTCTTTCTCCCCTTTTCTCTATATTCCCCTGTTTCTCTCCATTATCCCGTTTCTGTCGGTCGATCCGCCCCTAATGATGACCCGATTTCCCTCCATCATCCCCTCCCTTTCATTTCCCGTCTCCGTTGCTTTCCCGTATCCTTTATTCGTCCCCTAAACTCTCCTCCCGTTCAATCCCTCCGTCTTTCTTTCGGTCCGTCTTTTCCCATCTCCGTAATCCCTTCTTCCCCGTTTCCTCGATGTCTTCCACTTTTCCCCCTCTTCCGGTGCTTCATGATCTCTTTCCATCCGTTCCGCAGAACGCGTCTGCCTGCTGCCTGTCTTCCACCCTCAGCAGCGGTGGATGGAAAATGGGGATTACTGGATTCGGATATATGCTCCGCTGTTGGACCTCGCCTGAAGCTTTCCCCTACTTTTCGGGAACATAGCCAAGGCTCACAATACTGATTATTTATCAAAAAAAATGTTCCGCTGTTCGAATTCTCCCGCGCTCCGGGGAGCAGACAACAAAAATAGATTTCAGGACGACGACAATATACTCGCACGACCAGCCAGTCGAACGTCGTTGCCCTTTTCTGTCCTTGTGGAGATCAGAGGGAATTCGGGTGAGGAAGATGCCTCTGTCGCCTGTGAAAGCTCAGGAAGTTGAGGAGCAGGAGTTGGTCGACCCACAGACGACGTTGAGGGAGAAATGTCGCGAAGAACCCAAGTGTGCGGCATTCAAGGAGAAGTGGGATGCTTGCGAGACTAGAGTTCGCTCGCGAAAGAAGGTGAATTTCTAGTTGCAAACCTGAGAGTATATTCTCCCCGAGCTCGCTGTCGATGACTTTGCGATCGACGATCGGCGATGACTAAGGCGCCCCAACGGTTCTGATCAATCCTATCCCGCAGCCTGATGAAACACTCCTGGCTGCCGGCTGCGTGAAGGCTTTGAGTCTCTCCTGAGTCGGAGCCCACGCAGGACTTGTCAGGGGGACTATCTTCCCAACAAAATACGCCGTCGATCTAAGATGTCTTGCCTAAAGGCAGAGTTTATCAAGGAAGATATCACATTGCAGACCGCAGAGACGTGCTCGGAGGAACTCATCGATTTCATACAATGCGTGGATCATTGCGTAGCGCCGGAACTCTTCAAGCATCTCAAGTGAACTTCGAATGTGCCCTTCAGTAGCTCCTGACGTTTTTCTTTCAATCAATGCGGCTAATAAATTTCCCTGTTATATAGATAAGTCGAATGTCCGTGTTCCCTGTGTTCATAGATAGTCGCTTGTGCGAGTCCGAAGCCTATCGCGGCCTGACGCATGGAACCACAATTGCTCGAGAGTTTCGATGGTCTCTCACGATATTTCATTGCTCGAGGAGCGACTAGGAGCGTATTCAAAAGTAAGGTGAAGATCATGCGCACATATCAAGTCAGATCCTACAGTAATGAAGAGAAAGACGTTTGGCAAATACATCCTGAAAGGCCCAGAAATACTCAAAGAGCTCTATCGAGCTGGGGAAATATACCTGCTCACACCCCTGATAGCAACCGAGTTTGCTCCGGGCTCAGAGTTCAATTGATCCATCTCCGTAAGACTTCGACGAGCTACTCCGACCCAACTTCAGGCTCGATCAGAGGATAATTGAGGCTCATCCCGCGCTCGCGTCAGTCGCGATGTCTCAGAGGGAAGCCATGGGTACCGCCAATGTGCCATACAGCTACCGTGCTGAGTCCTCATGGCGAGCACTCAGAAGACGCGCGGGATCGATGCCACGAGCAGTTTTCAGATATAGGCGGAATTTATTTATATAATTTACATATCATGGAAGAGTTTATCGAACTCCCAGCTAGATCCCAACTGTGACAAGGAAGAGCTTCCGTCGAGGTTCTTCGGGGGAAGATTGAGCGGCGCTTATAAAACTGACTTTATGACTGGAGCTTCGTGCCAAAACATACAACCAGTTCAGGAAAACCTCGAGACTAGAAACTACCCTGCGAAATCAATCAATTGAGTTGATCCCGAAACTCTGGAGGGATCGCGCTGGGAAGAGCTTCGGGCTCGTTCGTTTCACTTCGATTCGCAGCATCACTTCATCGTCACGGACGGTATTCCAAATCATGCGCGTCTCCCTCGACAGCTCGAGCCCCGGGGAGGACGAGCGTCTCAGGAGGAGCCCTGTCCCCCCAGGCCTCACGATGGAGCAGACGATACACTTGCGCCTCGCAAGAAGAGCTACCCTGTCGAGTCGCGAACACAATCAACACATCGAGGTCGAGGGTGACGAAATACTCCGTGGACTAGAAATGAGGAGGAATAATTATCATCGATGTTTCCGGAATCATCTTCCAGCCCTCGAGCCCATTATTGTAGGAGAGCTGTGAGCGAAACTTACTTCTGCAAGAGGTCTATCGAACATGATCGTTCTGACGCGCTCCCTGGTCCCGTTATCGAAAATTTGAATCATTCCTCGCTCCTGCGGATCCCCACTGTCGGTCCCCATGAGGAGCATCAAATTCAATTCGTTCTCGTAGTCGTCCGAGAAGAGAACACGGCCTTCTTCGTCAGCCAGCCGATATCGTTCTCCCAGTCCCTCTCTGTGACTCTCAACCCAGCTACAAATAATTTATCCTATTCATAATATATTCATCGTCCCAGTATCCTCATTGGAACGCTGCGTTCCTTCAAAGTATGCACAGATAGCGGAACTTGCCTTGCGGATCTTCTCGGTGCTCGCCGAGTCCCGTAACGACCTGGTCTGGGCGGCATATCGCCTTCTTGCTCTCTCCGCGGAGACATCTCCAGTCTCATTTCGTGGAGTTTTTTTAAGGTCGGCTTCTTCTTCCGCTCGTCGTAGAAGTATTTGTGTATCCTGTCGATGGACATTCCGCATAGCATCGATTGTGGAAGTATAAATCGTATACGACACGAGCCCGCTCGGCTGTGACTTACGTGACCACATCCTTCTGGAAATGTGCTATGTCTCCAGAGTCGTCCGGATGGAAACAGACGGTATCGTGTTCGTTGATGGGAAAAGAGACAAGCTTCTGATGGTCTAGCGTGCAGACTGCGTACTCTCCCAATCGATGGGAGTGCGTGATGTAATGCCAAGGATGACCTCCGAAGCTCAGCATATCGGTAGTGTTTTTCACAACGAAAACGGGTGTGCCCAAATCTTGAACGAGGAAATCGGACCAGAGTTGGAGCTCTTCCCAGATTCTAGAGCTTCCATCATCAGCGGATTCGATTAGGGAGAAGAGATTCACCTGAGATTTCGAGGATCCTCTCCCCAAACATTGATGCGATGTCGTTAGTCTCGCAGATCCATTCGAAATCGTACAAGTGCACCGTCTCATTCCTGTACATCACTTGCAGAATTCCGTCGAACAGAACGACATTAACTATGTCTTTCCCGAAAATTTCCTCACGGATCGGTACTCGGAGAGATTTGCTGACGCGGGGACAAATCTGCAGGATGACGATGTGCCAGAGACTCTTCTTTCCGTCGATTGTGGCTTTTTGGGAGACCGCTGTAACTTGGTCCTGGTTCGGATCCCAACGGAGGGTGGAGAATTTCATCTGAAAATGTCTCTTCGCTCTCTCAGGAATTCGCCCGAATGCACGGCTTTGGAGTTCCGATGGATAACACGGCTCGAGGAAGACTCACGCTCGGTAGATCGTGCGCTTTAAGATCGATGACATCGATCATTTCACCATTACTTTCATTCCGGATCTCCAGCAAGGAATTCGACGCCAACAGCAGCCGCAAATCGGTTTCGGGTCGATTGGGGTTCGTCTGGAAGGAGGGAATCGCGGTGTCAAGGCTTTGAGCGGCGGCCATGAACTCTGTCAGAAAGTCGCTTGGGAAATCGAGCGCACCATTCCGGAGCGTGTGATTGTCATGTGGGATTCGTATCTCCATCTGCCCGGGTATGAATCCGAACTGATCGTATACATGAGGGTCGGTTCCCCTCTCTGACCACGGAGAGCGTAGCACTGGCGGTTGTTCTCGGAGTACAATTTATCGTGACTGGAATATTGAGGGAGTCCCCTGTGAAACTGGACCAATTCCGAAGAAGAACTTTCAAGCTGACGGAAAATTGAGTCCTTGAAGTTGCTCCCGTGCTCACCAGTCGAAACCGACGCTCCGAGAGCTCCTGATTTTCCCTGACGGTTTGAAGTAGCGATCCGGGGACGCGACCAGATTTCTCATGAGCCGATTATTGTAGCAATATGGGTTTCTCATGGACCGACTGTAGGTCCCATATCGTCGTGCATCGATGGCTACAAGGATATTCGCGGGTATTCGGGGCTTCATGATGGAATGCGCTGTGCTCGATGAATCCTCTCTGGACTGGGAAAAAATTCGCACGTTAGGGTCATCAGGGATCCTCGGGTTCCCTCAGCTCGACTCAACGGGATTGAGTGACAGGCCTCTCTATCAACGAAAAACTTCTTTGAAAATCAGAAAATGGGTTCCGCTCAAAATGGAGGAAACAGCAGCAGAATGATGCTGGGAGCCTCATCTTCATACGCTGCGGTTTTCTCGATCTTTCCTACATCTAGTTCGAGCTGCTCGCCACGATCCCACGGTCACTCGAATTATTCCTCGCCACAGCTTTCAATTTTCCGGCGGACCGCAACCCGCAACGTACCGCAGGATCCGGGGAGCTTCCCAGCATCTGGATTCTCTCGATTATAGCGGACCACATCACAGGAACATTCTCAAATTAGTTCCTTCACCGAGGACGTTAGGATTCCTGTGATTTCCCAACAGACTAAAGTTCCTTATCACTCATCACAGTATCAAGCGACCAGAGTGAAGCCGAGATGTGCCGCGCCAAGCCTCAAGAAGAAAAACGCATGACAGCGCCCTCTTGCCGCCTCGAGGATGGTTAGAAATGTACAGCTATGCACATTTTTCCGGAGTGCGGACGAAATTTCAACTTCCGGAGACAGTACGGTATCGTTCCCGAGCGAACGCGGAAATTTACTCGAACTCCGGAATCGACCGAGGCACGTCAGAGGCGATCTCGACGGCCGCGACCGTTGGGACTCCCTGCTTTGACTTATGGGGTGATCACTCTCGAGTTTGAAAATTCAGAAAGCTTGCGCCAGCGCAGAAACTTCGAGGGAGTACGAGATAAAATTCGAGTTTCTGAGCAGGATTTTGTTGGTTGGACTGCGTTTTCAGATGGGTATTCCTTTCCGTCGTCCTCTGGCTCCCGGTGCGGATGGGATCAGAAGAGTATACACACATCCCAGACCTCAATTTGTAAGCGCGGTATTCTGTTTTTATGACTCCTATACGGGTTCTCACTGAGGCGGATTAAGAAGCAACCTCTTCTGTCGATTCCGGAGACTGAAGGGCGTGAGTGAGCCATCATCAACGGGAACACCCGTCTGCCAACGCCGCGGCCGGCGAGTACAGAGGCGCCGTTAAGCGCGCCATGTGCTGGAGGAGAGAAGGATGCCGTCGAGCAGAACATAAACAAGCTTCGAGCCCTGACATCGAGTGCCGTGAATTCCGTCCTATTCGTTCAATCGACTCACCCCGGGACAGTGCACTATGCTGGCACCTCCGACAGACATCGAACAAGTCTAATTAGGTATGAATATTAGGCGTGGGAGCAGCTGAGCTCCCCAGCTGGGCCTCAGTGGCGAGCTGGCGACTGTCGAACAGTCGAGTCTTCCGAACCTTGTTATGGTCGTCTGCTGCATCGAATTCGGAGACTGACGCACGTGCGAGAGAACAACAGCAAAACTACAGACCGAGCTCTCTCTGAGTTTTTTCGTGCGTCGGTTGGTGAGACAGCATCAAATCTGCGGGTGGTCGTCGCTGGTGTCGAGGTGGGTGGGAATCCTGGCGCCTGACCAACGATAAGCTCGCGAAGGATGAGTTTCCCTCAGGCGTACAGATCTCGAGATCGACTCCTGACAAGAGCGCTGATTCGCTAGATCTTGTTCCTGTTTCGATGAAATCACTCTTCGACGATGATTTAGGATTCGATCGGGAACAAGCGAATTTTCGGGAAACCAGACCCAGCTTCTCCCTGCTCTCGATCATTCCTGCTGCTCCCGTTGCGTGGGAATATCGAACATTCGACAACCCGCCAAGAGGAGAATAATTAAGGATTTAGGCCGTGAAGGCCACATCATGCTGCGGATCAGAAGAGAATGAGGGGGAGGAAGCCAGGCCGCGGTTTCTATTGATCGACGTTTTCCTTCGTATTTACAGAACAGCTGACAGGGCGGGGACAGTATGACGCTCGTTCCGAAGAAAGATCAAGAGGACGAAGACGAGTTGTCGTCGTGCACATCCGATGAGGATGAAATGATCGACGAGCCTCAGGGGCGAGATGAGGATGAGGAGGAAGATGAAGATGAAGAGGAGGAGGAGGGAGAAGGAGATACCGTGATGGAAAACGACGGTGGAGATGAAGAAGAAGACGGAGCAGCTCCCAAAGAGAAAGAGGTTTTCGTCCCCGGCAGATCAACGCTTGCCGAAGATGAAGAACTCGTTATGGACAAATCTGCCTATGAGCTCTACCACCATGCAACAACGGCAGATCCTTGTTTATCGTTTTCCGTGCTGAAAGACCATCTCGGCGATAACCGAAGCGACGTGTATCCCTTGACGACCTACCTTGTGGCCGGTGAGTTCCTTCTTGAGGGAGAATGGTAGCATCTCCTCCTGAGTAGATACGCAGTGTATTCTACGCGATTGTCTGTAGTCCCTCGCTGATGCCCAAACCCAATCTTCAAGGCACGCAAGCGGCACGTCACGGGCAGAACAATCTGCTTTGCATCAAGATGTGGAACCTGCACCGGACATCCTCCAAAACCGAGGCTGGAGACAGCGAGGATGAGGAGGACGACGACATCGACGACGATGACACCGGTGTCAGCAAAAAACCCAGGCTCAATGTTGTTCACGTCCCCCACTCTGGAGAAGTGAATCGAGTCCGGGTCCAGGATCTCAACGATAGGAGAATATGCGCGAGCTGGTCCGACAACGGATCGGTGTATCTCACAGACCTGACAGACGCTCTGAAAGCATCCGAAAAACAGGAGTTGATCTCTCAGTTCGTCAGGAACAAGGCGGCCCCCAAACCTTTCTTCAAGTTCTCAGGTGAGTGAACGTCCCATCTGCAAGGATAACTCCCCACTTAAGGCCGTCGAGAGTCGGGCGCCTCGGAGGCAGTGGCGTACGCAGGATTTTTCTTGGGGGGGGGGCCTGGATCGGGTCTCCGAATGGGGCTGAAATCCAATATGGCGATTCGCTCCTATAGTACAGCATTACGAAGGGACCATCCGGGAGGGGGCTGTAGCCCCTTTAGCCCCCTTCCCCTGCGTACGCCCCTGCCCGAAGGTGATCTGGCATTTACGACAATTTCGTTGCAGGCCACCCGACTGAAGGTTTCGGGATGGATTGGTCCCCCGTCGCGCCCGGTCTCTTGGCTACAGGAGATTGCGCGAAGAACATCCATGTCTGGAGACCAAGCGAAGGCGGAAGATGGAAAGTCGATGACAGACCCCTTGTCGGTCATACGAAGAGCGTTGAAGACATCCAGTGGTCTCCGAACGAAGGGACTGTTCTGACCAGCTGCTCCGTCGATAGAACTATCCGCGTTTTCGATATCAGGGCGAACCCTTCGAAAGCTTGCATGTTGACCGTAGAGAACGCACATTCGAGCGACGTTAATGTAATTTCCTGGAACCGAACGGATCAAGCATTCCTATTATCGGGTGGAGACGATGGAGCGATTAAGATTTGGGACTTCCGACAATTCAAGAGCGGGAAACCCGTGACCACCTTCAAATTCCACGGAGCTCCGATTACCTCTGTAGAGTGGCATCCGAGCGACAGCAGCGTTTTCACGGTATGTAAAATCGCAGGCCGCCTCCAACTCGGATGCATTTCCGCCCTGCCGCTTCAACGGTATTGCCATGTTCCTATCGTCTCACCACGCGCTTCTCACCGAATAGGCATCGTCAGAAGACGATTGCGTGACTCTCTGGGATCTTGGAGTCGAGAGAGACAACATCGAGGCCGAGGAGGGTACTCTCAGAGATCTACCCCCGCAACTTTTGTTCATCCACCAGGTAGGTGCGGGAATAATCCCCATTCTAATCACGAGTCGAGCGCTGATCGGTAGAGAGAGTAAACCAGGTACAGTACATGCGTACGGCAGTAATCTGAGTGATATCTGTTACCAAAATGATTCCAGGGTCAGAAGGAAGTCAAAGAATGCCATTGGCATCCTCAAATGCCGGGCGTGTTGGTGAGCACGGCCTACAGTGGTTTCAACGTGTTCCGGACCATAAGCGTTTGAGGGAATCAATAAATTGTTGTTCGCATTCCTCGTTTCCTTGATCCGACGCGTCGAGGGCTCTGGCTTTGAGCTCAATAGGCAAAACAAACCCTTCCGGCGCGGCTTCTATCATCCTAAGGCTCGGTATCCCGTACAGCGGTCCGAGAAGCAACGCTTGGATTCCCGGAATGGAATCCGGGGGAGGGGGGCTGGGAGAGAAAAATTCGGAAATACGAGAAGAGAGGGAAACCTTTCTCCGCGTGTCCTGTACTGTGAGTGCTCCCGTAGCGTTCGAATCAGACGCACAATTCAAAGACGAGTGGGGAAATGCCGGGCAATCGCGAAGGAATCGAATCGGAATTTTTATTTTCTCCTCCATCGTTCTCGATTTTCTCCCCGTCTGCTTCAACACGACGATAGGGCACTGGTCATCGTCAACACGGCTCTCATAAATTACTCCAGTCTGCCTAAAATGATGCGCGCACAACACACCGCGACCCGCATCCGAGCATTGTATTAAATCTCCTAAACATCTCGAAAGTATCTCAAACACCAGCTCGAAACCTTCGGCGTTGTTTTTCTATTCCGCGTTCCTCCTAGATTTTGCTTCTTCTATAAGCATATATCTTTCGATCTCTCAATCCATATAACGGTGATTCCACGGTTCAGTTAGTGGCTCTCGAAACTGCTCTTCGTAAGTAATTCTGTCGTTGTCCTATTCGTGTCAGTTCGCCGCTGTTTGTTTTCTGCCTCGAACTTGATTCTCTCTATAACTCGTGTGAACATCAACAATAATGTACAGAACGTTCGTTGAACTAGCTCGCAACACATTTCCAATTCGTGTCGGACAACAGGCTTGGCGACCACTACAGAACCACACTGGGGGTAATTGTGGGAAGATGGCATTAGTTTTTGTAATTTTCCACGAAGTCTCCCCTTATGTACACATTCCGATGGAAGACCTCACTACATTCCGTTCCGTTTGCGGAGATGCTCGAAGAATCTCTGTTCGAAGAAAAGGAGTATTATCAATCACGTCGGCTTCTGACGGATCACTATTGACAAGCAGAGGTCAAAACCCCCCATGGACTCGGGCTTCGGCCTCCCGCTACTGACCTTGAGGTAGGGACGAAAAATCTTTATATCCTGCTGAAGTTGATGGCGGTACTCTTGCATTTGGACGACGTCTAGGTTCAACTTCGGAAGCAGCTCGGTGCTCAGGAACACCAAGAGCTCGTTATTCTGTGGGAGGCGAAGGGGATAGTGAGTTGACTTATTCGCGAGAGTTGCGAGGAAACGGGAGCCGGAAACCGACGAATAAGACGGATTCCCACGCGATTCGAAATTACTTACCCTAACTTTGTGAATGCCTTGTAGACAGCAAGCTGTTTCCGAGAGCACAAGAGCCGTCTGTGCATCGTCCAAATTGAAAGAAGCCTGCAACGGAGCTTGAAAACACGCTGGCAGGATGGCATCGTATAAGAAACGCATGAACACCACGTTGTCCGAGTTCTTTCCCCAAGCCTCGACCATCTTGCGGAGTGTGGCAAAACACGTTTTCTGAGACACTGGATCCGGGAGATTCACCGCTCCCTGGATGATGGTTGTGAGCACCTGTTCTAGTCGTTGACTGTCCTGATTCGGTATGACATCGGCCAATACGTCGGACGTGACCATGGCGAAAATCAAATTGAAATAAGCGCGCTGGAGCATCTGGCGCTCCTTGAGGGAAACCAGATCGCTCGTCTCTATCGGGACTTCAAGGCACTTGAAAATCAAATCCAAAGTCGGCAGGAAGAGCTCACGCATTAGCGGAATGCAATCTCGTTTGAACTTGGCCAGGATCTGAGTAACGAGCGGTATAGTCTCCTGCAGGGGTCGCGACCTGTCGGCCAAGTTGAAATCGAGTGAAATCGGTACGTGGATCCCCAACAATGCCGCCAGGGGATGCGGCAGGAGCGGCAGCATGTCTTCGCTGTCCAGACAGACCACCATCCGGTGTAGAAATTGCCGTAACGCTGAATAGATGAGAGTGACGGTCGAATCCTCGCATTTGCTCAACGAGAGCGCCTTATCGAAGATCGCGATAGCGTCCGTGTAGATCTGCACGCAGTTGCATGCGCGCATCGTCTGCGTATTGCTGAACGCCTTGCTCGTGCGCGAGGTCAGATGGATGGCGTGACTCATGAGTTCCGCCATGCGGTTGCGTAGCGGCTCCGGCTGAATGTTCAGTTGCGTTGTGTACATTGAATAGCTCTGAATAACAGGCGTGAGCAGTTGTCTCAGAAGGGATTCCTTTTTCTCAGCGGGGAACTGACTCGAAATGACTAGAATCGAAGTCGCCTCGTAAAGATAGAGCTGATCATCGGTCGAGAGTCGGCTGCCTTCGTTGACCTGTTGGAGCTGGGGCAGCAGGAGAAGGTCATGGAGCCGGCAGAGGATTTCTTCTATGTAGTTTTCGAGCTTGGACTTTGAGGTTTTGATTATTTTCGCGAAAAGATAGCTGCATCGAGATCTGACCGAGGGTTCGGCGGCACGGAGCCCCCGACCGTCCAAGAACGCGGCAATGACAGGTGGCAGCATCTGCGCAGTGAGCACCTTGTCGTAACGGCCACAGGTTTCGAAGAACTGCAGTCGCACCGATGAATGCGGATGGTTCGATACTTCACTGGCAACCAGATCCGCGACCATCACGGAAATAGCGACGTTGTGTTGAGCGGATGATTCACCGAGGAGGTAGAGAAAGGCGATCGCAACTTCGACGTCCTGGAAGGGCAGCGTTTTCCAATTCGGGAGCGTCGTTCGCAGGAGCTCCCGGACGAAGCATGAAACCAAATCTCTGTCGAGTTGGGTAATGTTGTCGAAAAGAACTTTCAATGTGCGCCGGAATTGGATGAAGTCCGCCTCTTCGCCGCCGTTCGATTCGAAGTCGTAGTCAGCGTCGAATTTGTACTTATTCACGATAATGAAGAGGAGTCTCTGCACGATATCTCTCTGGACCTCGCCGCACGGCTTCTGTTTGATATATTGCAGATATTCACGAATGCACTCCGTCACGGCAGCGGATACGTCGTCATCGGGATGCGCGAGATATTTCTCGATTATAGGGAAGAGACGCTGCTCGATCACTTCATGACCGGTGCGGACGATGCTCGCCTGGTCTTCCTGTAGGTCGTTGCTTTTTCTCGGTAACAGTCTGTGGGGAACAAGCGAAAACTCCAATCAGTGCGAGGAGCTCCCCTCGCCTAGCCCTCTCAAAGCCCACATATCCGGTCAGATCTTGATTTTTCCCGAACTTATCATATCATACAGCTGGAACAAGACTCACTTTGTGCACGCGTTCAACACGTGACTCGTCATGATATTGAGCATGGTCGAGAGTTTGATCACGCAGTCTATGTCTTCGTCGGCGGTCGAAGGAGTCACGGTCTGCAGGTTAGGTTGGAACACATCCAGGATGCTGATAACGAGTTGTATTTTTGGAGCGGGTTCCATCCCCTTGTGGATGATCTCGGTGATACAATCGATTGTTGCTTCTCGCACTTCGTTTTGTCGGCAGAAGCAGTTCACTAACACTTGCATGAATCGTGAGTTACAAACAAGACTCAAGTCGATCCATGAAACGTACATTCCAACCGTGAGCAGACATTGCGCTGTCACTGAGGGAGGGCAACCCGTCGTCACCTGAAATTGAGAGGAAGATCCTTCAGGTTCGGCTGGGAGCGAGCATGAAAGCTCCGAAATACCTCTCTTCCGAGTTGTCTCTCATACACGAAACACGTTCTCGCTCTGGGGGTTTTGAAGGAATGATCACGTACCAGAATATTGTACCACGAGTCCACCAATTGCGGAACACAGATTTCTCGCATGGTGTCTTTGATCAGAGTCCCCCGGGCAGCTTCTTCGGCCGATCTTTGAACCTCTCTCTCGGCGATACTCTGATTGATGGCTATAAGGATTCGGAGGTAGAGGTCCCAGCCCAACTGCGTGGTGATTCGCAGCAAATCGTTGAAGAAGGTTCTCCATCGCGCAGGGAAGTCCACCAGCACAATTTGGCTGACGATATGCGCGAACTTATTGGCGACGAAGACTTCCGATTTTCTTTGGCCGGCACGAGCGAGCCACTCCTCGAAGAATGTGCGAACTAATCGTTGCTCGTCTTCACCTGCCGAAGCGTAGTGCACCTTGACGTGGTGTTCAATCACGCTCAAATAGAAGAAAACGGATCCGCCATCTCTGGAACAGAATATTTGAAGCTTTAAGATCGGCTCGAGAAGACGAAGAACTCGATTCGGAGAAAGGGGATCTAGGCTGCGAACAACCCGGAAGCCGGAGATCGGTACTCACAAATTGGGGCTGCCGATGACTGTCTCGAGGCTCTGCCTCCAGCCGTTGCGCGAGTGTTTCAGTTCTTCGAAGTAGTCGATTGCGCGCTGATGAGCGTCGGCGTCCCCAGTGCTCAGGAAGGCTCGAACCACCTCTTCCATCTGGAGAATCAAGGTCTTTTATGAACAGAACTTGTGTACCGAACTTCCGTATCAGGAACTCGAGAAGCCGCCGATCGGATCGTGAAACTCAATCCGGTCCTAATGTTCTCGAATCAGAGCGAAAGTAGCCTCGCATTCCCCAGAGGGCCAAAAGCTCGTTGAACACGTGAGCGATCTGAGGAGACAACGAAGAATTCCGATGATTCGCGGAATCATGATGTTGGATCTCGTTCGGCCACTCTACCCGGTCGAGTGATCAAACGACGGGAGTGAAATGGGAATATCACTGATAGACGGTAAATAGAGTTCGCGAGGTAGTCGTCGAGTCTGTCCCTGCCCGACGACGCAGGTGTATCATGTGAGGAGCGCGACATTCAAATCGACAAGCTCGATCCATGGACACGCGGGGATCTACGTCGAGTGTTGTCTGCCTTGCGGAACTGAGCCACCCTACTCAGATTCGTCAATTGAGGAACTTTCGTGGCAATAGGTTCTCCGTGAGATGGGAACAACCCGCTGAGCCGATACGATCAGCAACCTTCTTGGATCGTTGTCGGAAAGAACACGAGCAACTTCACCGACATACCATGATGTATCCGTTAACGACTCCCATTTTGCCACAGAGTGTGAATTCCTCGTCGCCAGATACTAGCTTTCGAATTTCGAACACATGTGCTTTCGCTGGCCGCGGGTTTCGAATACAACGTGCCAATGGCGGCCACCAGCAGTGAGTGTGTTTCGGCCTGCTGCTGCGAGTGTGTGTCTGGTGTCGTCTCGCTGCCGCATGCCGCCGCCAGCAAAACACGATCTAATAGAGATGGTCGAGCGCCTCACAGCTTCGGTGGCGCAATGTTCGAACTTACGATACTTGCCTCGACGTCGAGCGGGGTCACGGCTTCCGCCGCCGAATCGCAATCGTTTCAAGACTCAGACCAACTGATGCGAACCGCTGCAAAAACATCACTCACGCCCGCTCCAACATCACAACATACGTCAGGAGGGATCATTCATGAAAGCCCGATGCGAGGAGCAGCAGCAGCGCCTTCTGCTGGAGCGCCAGTGCTCGCTTCAGTTTCCGGTAACACCGATTTAACAACTTTCAGAGAATCGGACGTATGTCTCGACTTCCAATTCTCCAGAAGAATTCGTCTCCGGAGGGAAGCCTCTCGATTCTGACAATTGAGACAGTTGTCGATCAAATCACATACGAAGACGGGGAGATGCGGATCGCCTGCATCGATGGCGCGAGATTTGAATTCTCTGAGAGCTTTTAAACAAAGCCCGAATCGTCCATCCTCTATATCCGAATAATTATCGGCACGGGGTCTGCGACAGAGAACGGCCCGATCACACAATTGAAAGGGCTTCATACGATGATGGAACAGATGTGAAGGAAGCCACCTATTCGGCTGCCCAGGAGGACCGGAAATCGAACTGTATAAGACAGAGCTGTGAAGTCATCCGTGTGCTTTCGTGAATACTAAGAAACCTGCATCATTTCTGGAAGGTGAAGGTCCTGATTTGGAACCGTAGATGATGATTGTCTTCTTCTTTCATTTTCTTTAGCATTTTATTTTTGCATCGAAGAGGATCGGTTATTCATGAAAAGGTTGAGATGGAAGAAGGAGTAAAGCCCGGAGATGATTGCCGGTCCGATCCTCAAAAAGTTTGAATCTGGAGAGGCGGACAGTAACGGGAGATCGGGGTTTCTCTGGCCGCAGACCGTGTTGATCATCAGAAACCAGTGAAACTTGAATTATTGCCAGCGCGGACACACTTCGTTGGCCCCAGAATCAGGAAGACAACGCTCACTTCGTTATTGCAACCAATGGCCCCTCCAATGAGGTTATGAGTGATGAGTATCGGTGACCAAGTCAGTGTAGTGAGATCCGCAGACTCAAGGAATATCTCTCACGTCGGGAAGTGAGGGTTGGATCTGCATGTCCGGCCACAGACGCTGTAGAATATCGCCTATGAGGGATACTACTTAAAGTTTCCTCGATTCTGACTGAGTTTCAAGACGATCATGGCATCTTCGCACCTTTTGTTGGCCTTCGATGATGCGCTGCTGCGATTCGAATCTTATTTTGATGGACTGACAGCCTGTTCCATTGAGTCGTTCCCGAGTGCTACATCGACATGCGTGGAGCGATTCGGAAGGATTCTCGTCGATTATTTGAACCTCATCGAAGCCTCTGTCATAAAACATCCAGATCTCCGGAACAAAGTAGGGGCTATCAAGATACAGCTCGTGAATTTCTACTCCCAGAACCGTCTGCCTAGCCTCTCGGTGCTCCAGGCTGCCCTCAGAGCGACTTTCGTTCAGCACCGAGGCCCCGATTCCTAGAGCGATTTTCTTTCGAGAAAATTCCCCTTTGCTCCTCCGCTAGTCGGAATATCATCTTCAGAATCCCTGGAAGCCCACCGCGAATAAACGTTTTCGATATATATATCCTACCATATATTCTTCCTTGTGATTGGCCTCGTGTCTCGAAACGAAAGTGAAAATCATTCCCGAAGTCGATTCCCGGGAGAGGGGGGTGGGGCTCCAACTCCTTTTTCATGCCAGCATTCCCTCCCCTCCAGGGTCCTCCTGAGCAGACTCGATATTGTTCGCGCTCTGTCGGCATGTGCATGCAAGACTGTGTTTTCAGCCGATCCGTGAATCCGGCTTTGAGCAAGAAAAAATTCAGAGAAAACCCCCACAGCAGTTGTTTCGGTAATGAATATGTGTAATCCGTAGTGCTCGGAAGTTCACGCACTGAAAAATGCCGAAAATGGCAGGCGGAAGGGCAGTGTAATATGTAGCTTGGAATAGGCACCAAATACAGGCGAAATAGGCTTGGCAGCCAAGCAGGGCGAACGCCGCGTCGGACCGTTCGTCAGTGCTGTTTGATGAGTATTCTCCGTGGTCTTCCGGAGTCCCATCTCGTCCCAGTGATAGGTAGTATTTTATCGGACTTATTATCGGAAGCAAGATTTTTTTCCTGGAGCATGGGTTTGCCGACCCTATTCATCGCCGAACTAGTTCGTGGACCCTGAATTTCCCAAGAATTCCCGGGATTCAGCGTCTCGGTGACCCGAAAAGGCACCGCCGGCACGGAAAAACCTAAACGGGTATTTTCGACGAGGAACGGTCGAAAAAAGCGGCCATAGGCATTTATGGCAAAATGCCTGAACTTCCGAGCTCTGAATCTGGGTTCGTCCCATCAATCATCTTCGAATAAGCAATCTTCATTATTCTGAAGTTACTCGCCGCTCTTCTACGAATATGACGCCCTTATTCGGGGGGATGGTTCCCCTGTCCTTGTCATTCTCTGACCCTCCCGCTCACTGCTCTGAGCCCCCACCCGGAGTAGAGAAGCACAAAAAGCAACATGAAAGCCATCCGGAAGGAGTCAGGCATGCACACATCCAACGAGTTCGGGCGCTTGCGCACGCCGCGAACGTTTCTCTCAGCGAGCTTCGGAGCGGCGGAAAGTTGAATAAAATAAAGATTATCATTACCGCCATTACGCGTCATTTACAAAACTCAATAGAGACTCCCTTCGCAAAGCCGACCCGCGGGTAACGGGTGCCGATTTGTCCCCGCGCGAAACGATGCTCTATGGGAGGAGGGCAAACCAACTTGCACAGTTTTCTGTTCTCCACCGCCTGCGATGACACAGTCGGTTTGCTCGCTTCCTTGTGCTGTCGTTCGCCGCTTCGTTTGTTTTTTTGTCTCCATGAATTCCCAATCTGCGGAGAGATTCAACCGAGAAATCGAACATGCGACGGCATCGGGGAAGGTGGCTGAGATTTTTTCCCGTCTCCGATCGGGCGCCTGTGAATAACAGCGATCGGAAAGCCAAACGATTGCCTGAAATGGATGGTGTCCTCAACCTTCGACGCCACGCTACCCTCAGAGTAGCCGAATGGGATGTCTGTATATCACGGGGTCACAAGCGGAGTGTCGAGACTTCGACCATAACAATGAAGTTGAGGCATGCATTAGAGGGAAATCACGCGTATTGAGCTAGCTGGGTGTGCTAGTTGGGTCTCTTGCGCGAGCGTCACAGAAAGTGCATCCCAGTGCGACTTTTCTAGATTCGACATCGGTGACTCGGCTTTGCTTCCCCATCGGAACTTGGAACTCGCTCGCGATTCGCGAGTCAGCAAGTACAATTACTCCGCGATCATCATGTCACCGATGCCACCTCATTGTAGCGTCCTTCGGATGATTCCCGGCTGGACGCATGCTGATACAGGGAATACGAAAAACGGGACGTTCTGAAGCCTGAGCCCGTCCCGGAATTATCCTACGTTCTTGCAGGCGGAGAGTCAGACGGTCGACTGCGGTACATCTAATTCTTCGACAGCATAGACCTCACTGAACATATCCCGCGACGGGGTCATTGAATTGGCCGGCCATCCTTCCGGGAAATCGGGGAAATGCGGGATTCCCTGTTTCAGTTATGGACCTAGGTGACAAGCCCTAGGGCCAGCGCCGCGCCGCCCCGCTCGCGGTAGGGCGGGCCTACTGTTTAGAAGCCCGAGAGGGTCCAAGCTTTCTGATAGCTGCCTTCACCACCCTCAAACGAGACATGTGGATAAACAATACTCTGAGTTTTTTCTTGGAGGTATGCAATCAGGACCCGGGTCGGTCTATCCTCTTCTTGTCCTGAAACAAAGATCTCAGGGGTGAGAGGCGCTTATGGTCCCCGACTGACCCACGGAGATCATTCTCGGTCAACTGTCTCCTCAGAGAGCTCGCGGGGAGCTCTCTCCGCGCTGCATGTTCCCCTCCGAGCATTTTTCCTCTCTTTGAAAGACTATTTCTCGGCTGTAGGAGCGCAGCTATAGTTTCCGCAGCTGTACAACAGTATCTAGGCATTCCCTGAGGAAACTATGACGTGTGTACGGTTCTCGGCTAATTCGTGTGATTTGGGTCGCGAGGAATTCCAAGAGCTACTTTGCAGTGCGTACTCACTTTAACGCGGTGAATAATTGACACTGGGCAC